GTATATATATATACAGTATATGTGGAGAAGCAATTGAAACAGCATTTAAACCTCAGTGCTGAGAATTATTTTTTACAGTAAATATATAGATTGGTCGATGAACTATTAAAAAATACTGATAACTTTAAAAAGACACTTAATTGTTGGTGTCTTATCAACATTTTTAATCTATCTTCAAGTACTGTATATTTGTATACTCTCCTTCAGTTTGATATGAATGTTTTTTGCTGCCTGCCATCTTATAAACTGTTTACTAAAACATATATTTATAGTGTTTGAGTTGTTAGATTGTTTACACTTATTATGAATACATGTATTTCTATGTGATTATTTTGCCCTGGTTTTCTTTGAATGTGTAATTTACCAACTATACTGCAAAGTCTACTTTCAGAGATCAGTATTTGTGCTCTAACCTGATATCATTTACACATTTTCTGTGTTAAATAGAGATTCTGGGCATGTTGCTGTCAGTGATGTCTATCTGGGCTGTAACAGCGGTGCTGGTCATATCGGCCATTCAGAGGGTCTCTGACGGAGACTACGACATCGATAGTCAGATCATGCTCATAACGTCAGGTTGTGCTGTGGGGGTCAACGTCCTGTGAGTTTGATCATGTCATTCCATCATGTCATCCACCATCATTGGTCAGCGGTGACAAATAGTTCTGACTTTGTTTTATTCAGGATGGTCCTGATCCTCCATCAGTCTGGAGCCTCACACGGCCACAGTCACGCGCCTCCCACCAGCCGGCCGCAGACGCACAAACGGCGTGGGGGGAGCGGCCACCATCACGGGCACGGCAACGCCAGTGTGAAGGCGGCCTTCATCCACGTGGTGGGAGATCTGGTGCAAAGTGTCGGAGTCCTGCTGGCTGCCACCATCATCCACTTCTGGGTCAGCGTTGGCCCAAAACAGTATTGACAGATAGACTAACATATTGACACTTTGTTTTTTTTTTATAACATATCTTGAAAAGAAGTAAAAGATCCCATAACACTAGCATTATCCTTTAAACACATACGTTACAAGACGACAAACATATCAATATCCTCTAATTTACTGAAAGTGGGTGAGGCCCAGACAAGACAGTTTGCACATTCAAGCTCAATTATATGGTTTATTATTTGTTTTAATCACATTTGTGAATTCCCCACAGCCTCAATATAAAGTAGCAGATCCGATTTGCACGTTCCTGTTCTCGGTTCTTGTTCTTGCAACAACGCTTCCTGTCACAAAGGACATTTTCAGAATCCTGATGGAGGGTAAACACATCTTCTGTGCCTGCGGTGACGTTATCGTTTCATCGACTACATTTAATTGTAACCGGTGTCGTCTTTGTTTTCTGCAGGCGCTCCTCAGGACGTTAACTTCAGCACCGTGAGAGAGCTGCTGCTGTCTGTGAGAGGAGTCGTGTCGGTTCACAGTCTGCACATGTGGAGCCTCAACATGACTCACTCTTTACTTTCTGTCCACGTGGCCACAGGTAAGATCAATACAGTGTAGGTGATGGAAGTACATGCTCCTGAAGTTTAATACCTTTTGTAGACTATTGTCACAACACATATCTCCTAATATATACATGGAAGAAATGTACACAAATACTTTTATAGCATACTATAATGTATATTTTTGTGACTACTATAGTTTTTTCTATTGTTAATGCATACTAACTGTTTTTCTGGAATGTTATACTATGAGTCAAGATGTCAAGGTAATGATTCATATTCAAGATGATTGTAAAATAGAACTTAAAGGTTTCCTGTATTTGTGTTCTCAGAAGACGCTGATGCACAGATCGTCCTCGTGAAGGCGACAAAGCTTCTGCGCTCTGAGTTTGGCTTCTCCAGTGTAACAATCCAAGTGGAGCAATAGAAGGGAGACTGCTGACGGCACCATGACTGCGTGTTTACATCGATTTCTGCAACAATTTTTAATACGAGGCTGATAATTACCAGGTGCACAGCTATACTTCTGAATATATTCAAGATCTTAGAGCTTTGACACAGCTTTGTATTAATGCCGTTACAATGTTAAGTTTTGCTTATTCATTTGATAAAAAAAAAAAAAAGTCTACTTTTGCAGTCACTACACTGACACAATAAATGTTTATTTATGAAGTAGCTGAATGTCGCATTTGTACCTACAGTATCCTGATATATTTATGACTATTACACAGAAAACTTGGAGTGATCGGTTTTAATGTTTTGCACCTGTATAAATGCAGCGAATAGAAAATGTTTTAATATTCATGTGATTAGACACAATCAGTGTTAATATTCGGTTTTCATTAATTGTTGCTTATGTCTTACATTTTTGGATAATAACTTACACCTTTGATAAAACAAAAAAATCGTAATTTCAATAATTTCCCGTTCATTGCTTTCTTTATAAACTTTATTTATTTTTACAACATGTATTTCAAATGTTCGTCTAACCAGATTTTGTACACAACAAATTCAAACAAAATGTAGACATATTCTTCACACATTACTTAAAAGCAATGTTCATGTTCGTCTGGATGAGAGTCCTGGTCAAAATGAGCGATGGAATATGGTTTTGGAAAACCAGTCTTCAAGCTAGTTTGTTGCTGCCGGGCGTCCCATCTCTCCAGTAGTTCTCATAGGTGTCCCGGAACATGTTCTTGCAGGATATTCTAGCTTTGAGTTTAGAGCAGATGAGGAAGGAACCACCCATCTTGCGGTGAAGAGAGTACGTCTCCTCGGGGGGCGGCGTTAGTCGCTCCCTCAGCATCACAGGGATGAGGCCGTGGATGCGCTCTGTGGTGCTCTGAGTTCCAAAGTCAAAGGGCTGCTCAGAAGAGAAAGCCTCTCCGAGGATCATCACCGCATCCACGTGGGCATTCTCCATCACCTGAGTTTAGTTTAAGGATATACACTTAGTCACGTAACAAAATCTTCCTGCCAGCATCTCTAAAATGTAATTCCGTCAAATAATGTATTTGAATAGTATTTCATTAAAAAGGTATGGCATGTTGAAGAAAAGGCCTAAGAATGTTATTGTATAGCAAGTCTTAAAAACAGTATAGAAGTCAATTATATACTATATCATAGTACAAAATATGATAAAAATTACAGCATATTCTGTTGTAAAGAGAAGAAAATCACAGTATAGTACGTCATGAACAACAAACAAGGTCAGGGTATGGTCGTGAAAAAGTAATAAAAAGTCATAGTATGTCAACAAAAAGGCCCCAAAAATGTGATAACACAGCCGTTAAAAAATTCAGGTTTTTTGTTATATACTATACGATTTTATAGTATGTCAAAAAATGCATGTCGTGATTACACAATGTTGTGGTTCATAGTGAAGCGGTTTGTCTTTATTACCTTTGACTCATATCCTGTGAGGAACTTCATGTCTCTGGATCTCTGGAGGACGACTTCTCTGTTGTTATTAGCAGCTGCATTAATAATCTGATTTGAGAAATTAAAGTGAAAAACTGATTAAAATGTAATGCCTGCAGGAAAATAAAGCACGTTATGAGTTATTTTAAGCCAACAGTATTACTGACACCATGACAAAAATTAATATATATATTTTTTTTTTTTTTCATATAAGTTTAGACATAAGGTGAGAAGTTTCTAATTAAAACAAATTCCCTGTCATGTTTTACCAAGATATCTTTTCATGTTGTGACATATTTTACATTATATGATGGATGAATGATACTTTCACCACGTCCGATTACAAACATGAAATAAAACTTAAACAAACCAGATTGACCAGTCAATGATTACCTTATTTTTACTTAGAAAACTTTCTTAAAAAAACCCCAATAATTTGGTATGTAGTTATGAGTGATGTGTCCTAATAAGGAAAGAAACTTTACACATTTCTACAGCTTCTTACCTCAATGTAAGCGTCAGTGAAACTCTTATCAAATCCCCGCGTAGCTCCAAAATCCAACAGTGCAACCTGGAAACATGAAACAGAAAAACAGACTTCGGTGAAGAAGGGGGAAACGCCAAACAGACCAACAGTGAACAAATGAGGGGATTGAGACAAACGGACCTTGTGAGCTTGGGGATCAAAGAAGAAGTTGGACCAGTTTGGATCAGTCTGCATGAATCTGAACTCAAAGAGCTCTCTCAGGCACAACTTCAAGATTTGCTCACAAATCTATCAGAAACAAAGGAGGAGAAAGAAAATAGTGCTCCATGTATACAGCACAGTGTGTGTTAGGACGCTCAAATATTGTGCCGACATGACTCCGGTCTCGGCATTCGGCACATCTCCTTGAACCCTTCCAAAGTGGTCGACGTATTGGCAGTGCACAGGTCTGAATTCGTACCTCATTCCTGAGCTCCTGGGAGAGGTCGCTGGCCTTGTCCAGAGGGAAACCGGGCACCAGCGTTGTGGTGAGGACGTGCGGGCTGCTCAGCTCGTCAATCACATCAGGCACGTAGAAGTACGGGTGATCCTTCAGCAGCTCTCTGACACACAAACGGCAACAACACAGCAATAAGAAATACATTGCCGTCATCAACTTGACAGCTGAAGTTCAAACTTTGCTCTTAAAATGAATATTTGGGGAAATACGCTTATTCGATTTCTTTCCTTCAAATGTTAGATGAAAAGATTGATATCACACTAATGTTTGTAGGATAAATATGAAGTAAATGCCAGCAGCTCGTTAGCTTAGCATAAAGACTGGAAACAGGAGGGAAAAGTTAGCCTGGCTCTAATGCAGTGTTTCTTGATTAGAGCCTGAATGGACATTTTAATCAACATACTGAGCAGCTATAAACAGCACAGGACCCCTACAAGGTGTCATGAGATAAACTGATTGCCCACTTTGGTAAAGTAATGTAGTGTTATTCTTTCATGGCTCTAAAAATTATTCATATTAAACAATCTGAGAGGGTAAAACGATTTTGATTGAACCGCTCACAGAAAAGTTCCGCTTCATATTTACGGGTTCAAAGGCAAAAACGGTTGTAAAGGCTTTAACGAATACACTACGAACTGAATTCCCAAAGTCGGTGTGTGCGCAAAGAACAAGTGTGAACAACTTACTGAAATTTTTTGGCACATTTGGCCTCTCTTATGTAATCACACTCCAGCGCCAGCTCACGGCTCATGACCTCAATGAGGTGCTCAGGAAAGAGACCTGTAAAGGAGGGCAAATGTTAGAAAGCTGACAATCAGGAAAGCTCCTGATGTGGGAGAGTATGTTGAAGAGGTTAGCAACACTAGACAATAGCAGCCGTTATAAATATGATAAAAAGCTCTCCAACAATGTTACCTTTAGGCAGCACGTTGCTTAAACTCAGAGCAGTCATGATATTATTCACGTCACTGTTGATACTCTTGGCGACTCCAGGGTACTGAAAGCACAGATTCCATTGTGCGATTTCTTTTTGCTGCATTTTGTAATAGTTTGCTTCTGTGTTTTAACGCTCCTCTCACCTGAATCTTCATGGCGACCTCTCGGCCGTCCTTCAGTCTCGATAAATGCACCTGACCGATGGATGCCGCCGCAAACGGCTTCTCCTCAAAGTACTCCAGCTTGTCTCTCCAGTTGGGGCCGAGGTCACCGGCGATGGCTTTCTGCAGAGAGAAGATAAAACCGTCTCATCTATGAACTTGAGTTTAGCGAGTTCGGGTCGTTTATTACGGTTCTCCAAGCTGTACCATCATCTGTTTAGGGGGCATGAAGTCCGCACTCTGTCGAACACGCTCGAAGATTTTGGCCAGCTGAGGGTTAATGAAGGCGTCGTCTGAGAGGAGGGGAAATGAGAGACGAACAGAGTGAAAACTAAGCGTTACGCATGCTCTTGTGTTATTACATTCAACAGTGATCAGCATCTGTTTTTCTAAAAGATAAATCCCTGAACATTTTTCAAAAAGCTGGAAGTGACGAATCTTCTTGGTCATTTTGTACGGTGCAAGTGAAAATATAAAAGCATTAGTTTGAATAATGGAAAATTTGGTCAATTATGTCACATAAACAGCAGGATGCAGAGTTTTGGAGCACTTTAAGGACTTCGTGTCTTTGTTGGCTTCAACATATCTTTATTGACCATGGACAAATAAACATGGACGAGAAGCTCTTAAAGTGTTCAGAAAATAAATGATTTCAATATCTAGAGAAAAAAAAAGAAAAGTATTTTTCAGTATTAAGTAATTGAAAGTCCACAGCCTATTACTAAAGAGACAAAGCACCGGCACTCACTTTTTTGGGGGCAAAAACTAACTTATTTCAGGTAGGTTACATCCTTATCTGTCCAAAATGTCATCACTTTCTCATTCTTTTCATCATTTGTGAAAATTGGCATATTGGCATATGATTTCTTGAGTTCTAGACAAAAACATATTTAGTGAAGTCACAGTGACCACCAAATTCTAATCAGTTCATCCTTGAGTCCAAGTGGACTCACCGGCATAAAAATGTTATAAAATTGTTCGTCTCATGAAAAATATAGTATGTCATTAAATATTTCATAAAAAAAAAAAAAAACCCAAAAAAAAAAAACCCGAGTTGTGTAAAAATATCATAGTTTAGTAGGTCATAAAACATTCATTAAAGTCTTATTTCTAATTACTTAAGTCTAACTATGCAATATAATTTTATCGTGTAGTACTTAAACAACAACATCAAACAAATAGGATAATAGGTCATAAAACATGTCATGACAGTGTCATAGTATTGCCTCTCTATGGGAGGAGGGCCAACTTTGAATGATTTGTAAAAAAAACACCAACCGACAATGTGCATCGTATACCTTCAAATTATCAAATTTAGCAGAGCAAGAACAATATTTGCCTCTGAAATGTAGTGGAGTACAAGGAAAAAGTAGCAGAAAATGGAAATATTCAAGTAAAGTACCTAAAACTGTACTTAAATGTACTAACTGAAGTTTCTTTCCACCAGAGGTGACTCGACTAATGATAATACATGAGAAAACAAACTAGAGAGCATGATGACACTGCACCGTAAGCCAGCTGTATAAAGTGTCAGCTGAGCCTCGGTACGCCTACAATAGCTTGGCTGGAATGGTACTTATTGTGTTCAGCTCGCCCGATGCTTATTTTAGGTGACATTTCCCTCTCGGTAAAGGGATCTGCTTTGTTGTCAGAAACATGACGAAGTCTTGTTGGGAAGCTGCAGCACCAGCTTGCTGTCTGTTTGGTCTCTGGTGAAAGCTGAGCCTTTACAGGCACACCGATACACATTTACTGTGAACATACCGTAGCAGTGTGCGAGATCGGTTTGGAATGAGTCCCTGAAGATCAGTTTCTGAATACGAGACATTTCTGATGACTCCTCACCTTGAATGCTGAGCATCTGTCCAATTTTGAGAGCAGCACCTCGGACTTTGCAAAGTGTCCGGACGATTCTTTGAGCGTTGGCTTCAGAGAGGAAGGCACTCGAGTCCAGAACGGATTTTTTATCACCTAAAAAAACAAAAACATTTCATCATCACATTTATTAGATATTGTATTTCAGCTCCAAATAAGATCGTTACTTCTTATATTTTTGAAATTCATCTACTTCAGTACTTCAATCTAATAGTAACGGTTATACACACACCACTATCTATTATCACAGGAACTTCACATGAAATATATTGTTCATTATCTAAAATTTGAAGTTAATTCTGTCCCTTTTTTTAAATGTTATGAAAGATAAAACGTAGGCCGAGTTACTTTAGAGTAATGTCTACAGCCTCAACAAGAGTGACCACGGTCGCCTTTCTAGTCCTCTCATTACCTTTCCCTCCTTGTTTGGGTTTTAAACTCTTCTTGGCCACTTCAGCGATCGCCCCAATGCCGAGTCCAACGGCCAGACCTGCAAAAAGAAAATAATATCTATATACAAGGTGACTAATAAACAAACTGTATTTCACCAGTGTGACCGAGAGTCAGCCCTCCGTGAGTAAGACTCGATACTAACGTACCACCAATGAAGCTTATTGTCTGCTACTTAAATCCATATAACCGCGCTATTTGAAAATGACCTCCGCTAAGCGTATTCCACCGATGTTTGTGACAGTGATTAATGGTGACCTGATGGGGATTTAGGGGCCCCTGGCAACCCTGTATTGAATGAATGTTGGTATTGGCAGTGGTAGAAGAAGAAGAAGTACGTTATGAAGTAAAACTATAAATACCGCACAGTAAAAGTAAACTAAGTGTATTTCAATTGAAGAGTGTAAGAGAGGCATTATCAGCACAATTAACATCTGTTCAAGGTGGATCTTTCAATTCTAATACAATGCCTGACAAGTTTATGAATAATAATTAATCATATTTTAATTGTTATATTTAGTGAATCAAATCTGCAACAGCTCTCTGCCAGGTAAATGTAGTATGACAGTACAATGTTTTTCTTTTGAAGTATACAGACATTAAGTAGAATGCAGTTGAGTTGCATACTATTGTGCATCAGGGGACTTTTGTGATTTATTTCAGGGTACAAGGAATTTGAATAGTAATGTAATTCGATATACTTATCTTAAAATCATAATATATCTATAAATATAAATCTTAGAGGCGCTTTTAGTTGGGGCTCCCAGGCTGCCTACCTTGCCCAAGAGGAAAGTCAGCTCCTGTTTTTTTTTTTTTTTTTTTTCAATGAACCGATGTGTATTGCACTGTTTCTGACTGCGAGTAGCCGTGACTTGGTGTGTGCGTGACGCAACTATGTCACGGCAGGTGCGTTGTTCGGGACCCAAGGAAGCTCAGTTTCCAGTGTGAAGCCGTTTGTATGAGCGGTGCAAGCAGCGGCATCCAGGCCGCTCCGAACAGGCACAGCTCTACTACAACATGATTCACAAACTTTCTTTGAATTGACAGGAACTGTTTGAAAGGAGATGTTAAAAAAAGAAAATTGCCAGATTGATAATGTTATAAATGGCCAGTGTTACCTTTACCAATGCCCTCCTCTGCATCTGATAACAGCAATCAGTAACCAGAGGTGGGTTTGATTTCTCAGGGCAACACTCGGAGCGTTTTGAGAGTTTAGGGGTCATTTAAGTCCGTGACAGAAGTGGAATAAACAACGGATACTAAACGACTCAGTGTGATGCTCTTTTGATGACAACACGTTTTACACCAGCTGGATTCTCAGTCAGGACTCTGGCACGTCCCCGAAACATTTTCTCAAGCTATTGATTTCTCAGCACTGCTCTCCAGGAAGGGCCAGAGCGGCAAAATGTCATTCGTACAACTCGTGTCAACAATTGTTGAAAGTAAGCGAAGAAATGACCAGAGTCCACTTTAGATTACTTAAATCACCTTGAGTTAATAAATGCTGCAAATTCAGATTACATATGTTTTACATATTTACAGTCACTACAGTTTCTTCTCTGAGGACTACAATGATAGTAATGTCACTTTTCTTTTAAAAACATCTACCAGAATGCCATTAAACACACATACCTCCAAAATTCATCAGCCTTCCTATCCGTGTGACGGGCACCTTCCTCTCTCTGGCTCTGTCGCTGAGCTGAAATACAAGAAAAGCACTAAACTCAAAAGGACAAAAGACGAATAAAACCCACAACCCTGAAAGAGACCTATACGTCAACATCATTCAAACACTGATTTATAGAAAAGTGTTAGAGTGGATACCACTTGCTTGTGTTGCTTGATGTCGGTTTTCTTGGCGTTTCCCGCTTTATCACCGTCCTCTGGCGCCAGACGTCCCACTGTGGAGTTGTCCTGGTTAAACAACCTGGTATGGCCAGAGAACAGCTGGCGGGACCAGTCCCCGTGGTACCTCATGTGCTTAGTGCTGGGTCTTCCACTGCAGGTCGCCTGTCTGGCGTTAACGCTTCCTGTGAAACACGCACTGAAACAAGCTCCAACAGTGGAATATCTGTGCCGCTGTGGTGCCGAGGCTTTGAGGACGCAGACTTCTCGTGGTTTGTTGAACGTCTCCTGGACGGGAAAACATGATTCATACGAGTAGGTGTTAAAGGAACAGTTCAACATTTTGGGAAATAGGCTTATTCACTTTCCGAGAGTTAGATGAGAAGATGGATAACACTCTTGTCCGTTAAATATGAAGCCACAGCCAGCAGTTGGTTAGCTCAGCTTAGCAAAAAGACTGGAAACAGCTAGCATGGGTCTGTCCGAAGGTACCAACAATGTGAAAAACCAGCACCTCTAAACTTTTCTTTAATCTGTACGAAAACAAAAGTGTGAAAGTGACAAAAATGATGCCGTTAACGGTGAAGTGTTCCTTAAAAATGTCACTAGATTTTAAAAATTTGCTGATTAATCTGTTCGTGTTGACCCACTAATCTCAGCTCGAGAGTACTTTTTGGATTCTGGAGGAAATCAAGTAGCCGACAACATGAACTCTTCCAGCTTAATCCGGCCATGACAACGTGACACAGAATTTGGGACACGATTGACATTTGAGGAAGGTTAGGAATTCATTTGACTGTTTCAGGAGCGGCAATCCGTAAAATATGGAAGTAAAACTTTCCTACATTTTTAGCTGCATTTCATTTTAAAATCAGGGGTTACAAGATGTTAAATTGGGAAATAAAATAAGACAAAATAATTGCTCTGATAAATAATGACATTTCCCCCCCCCCACACACTCTTTGGTGAAATATGGAACAGTTTACCCCTTCATGCCTTTATTAATCATTCAAATAAAACTAATCAGAAAAGTATAAATGGTAAAATCACTAGTTGGACGAGGGGTCACAAGTAGACATGGCTACATTTTAAGAGGTCAAAGTCAAAAAAGGTGGAGAACCACTAGTCCCAATGTTGTTTTGGAAGCTTTACTGCCAAGCTAAGTATAAACTGCACAATTGTATGATGTTTTTTTTGGCTATAAAACAGGACTTTATGAATCCTCTCGACTGTCTTCTACTCCCGCATGGTCCGCCTCACAGCCCTGCTCACTATTATTGGCGTTGATGAGGCGATAATGGCAGGAACTGACTCAGGAGGTATCTGGGTTGCATGTTTGTGAAACTCTATCCGGCTTTGCGGCTGCATGACGGACAAATCACGGCTGACTTGCTCACCCTCGCTGATCCGGCAGCATGATGGAAGTTTACCAGCCTCTGGTTCCCGGTGCCGTGCAGGCCTCCCGGTGAGGCTCTGCAGGCCGCCTGCTTCATCCAGGTCAGACCCCTCCAGACCACCATGTCACCCGTCATGGCGCTGATGTTCAGACCTGAAGACGGGAATAACAGGGTCTCTGCAACAGGTTGCTTCTAGGCTGTGAGGTGAGAGGGGAGTCCATTAGAGTCTGATCATCAGGTTACTTGTAGAATAATGCATGACTCCAAATCCACAACATGTTTGAAAAAAACAACCTAACCAAACACTGACGAAAGTGCAATATTAACTTGGCTGTGTGTGATAAGAGAGCAGAAAGACAAAAAAAAAACATGCACACCCAAAGGTTTTAAAACAAATATCAGACATTAAACAATGATTTAAATGATTCTCACACTGAAAAATGAATAAAAGTGACAAATAGGGGACATTTAACTTTTACACACCAACTTTAAAAATAAATAAAAATGACAAATTAGGAAATGTAACTTTTACTCAGACTTTTAAAATGAGTAAAAGTGACAAAGAAGGAACTTAACTCACCAACTTCACAACCGATCCCTCTTAGCTCCACGAGCAAGCAGTGAGCATCGTACAACTGCAGCACGAGCCGCGGTTCACCTTGATTTGACTTGACACGACTTCTCGTGAACGCCTCAACCCAACGCAACAAGGCTCGCGACACGCTGAAGGACATGCACGTTTTCCTCGAGACGAAGTTTAATAAACAAACTGGCCAATGAGGCAAAGTTCACGCGCTCGATCCGGGTATGAACAGACCTGCGCACATGGTTCTGCAAAGTGTCGTTAACTCCTCAGGAAGTGTGTTATTGGCTGACGTGGCGCAAAGGGCGGTGCGTGAACTGCACACATGCTGCGTTCACGAGCAAATAAACTTTGTTTATTTTTCAGTGAACACAAACCAGTTCACTTTAGTTAAAATTACAATCCGCCCATATGTAAAATTATAAATAATAAATAACAAAAGTAAAACTAACTAAGACTTTTTTTTCCAGGAATAGATGAACCAAAACTATATATTTTTAAAAAAAATAATGAAAGTGTAAAGCTAAAAATATTTATGATTTATAATTGTAGAAATACAAGTCATCTGGACAGCAATAACTTTACGTACCTTGCATTTAAGTCAGTAAATCGTATATATATATATATATATATATATATATATATATATATATACACATATGATGTAAATAATATGTTAACTTTATTTCGAATAATTATGTTTAATTGTTTAAAAATGAAACTGTTTGTTTGAATTTACTTTGGCAACAAGTAATGAATATAATCTGGGAACAAACCTTCACTACCTTATTCATGATATTGTGGAAATGCAGTAGCATGTATTAAGAGTTAAAGACTTAGAATAAATAATTAAGTATACTATTATATTAAGCACATGACTTACTGCTTCTACTTTGTCTTTTGAGAGCTGATACAGATATTTAAGACAATACTTGCCAGCAGTTGGTACGTGGGGCTGTGTCAATGTGTTTGATGGTGGGAATTGACAAGGCATCTAAAGTTTCAAGTTATTTAATATCAAATGCACAACAATTATAAAAGTAGTTGTCAACGAAAATATTGGCTCTCAAGCTCCCTCCAGTGATGCTAATTAAATATGTATAAAAAAGAATAAAAAATCAAAATTTTTAACTATCGTCAGATTGGAAATGACCCTAAATCAGCTCCGAGATCATTCTATAGGATTAAAACTAGGGTGAAACTGAGCTCAAAGGTGAGATTTCATGAGGAGCACTTGAAGGCAGCAATACCCCATCCAGCTGTGAACTGCCACTGATCCATTCATTAGAGTTTAGCTACAGCAGCTGATGTTAAGTCCATGACGAATCACCTTTTAATTATAGAGAATGTGCAGCAACATTGATATAAATAGCACAAGTGACCAGTGAAATTATTAACTTAATGATATCACTGCTCTGTTTACATCTGTTGATGGGAAATATAAAAAAATAACAGTGGCATATCATGATTATTCACTTTACAATGATATGAATGTTTAAATGATGACGGATGTCAGCTGTTGTTTTTGTAACATATTTATGAAATGTTGATGTTTCAGATGTATCACACACATGAAAAATATCCAACATGTGTGTTAGATTGTTACCGTATCTTTCTTTATTGGAGATAAATAAATAGGTTATAGTTCACATGAAGGTGTTTTAGCTTAAGACTCAGATTTACATACACTTCAGGACATCTGAACAATCAGGACAATCAGACTACCACATTAAAATACTGATGAAATAAACTTTTAAGGCTTTGTCAGGGTCTGAAGGCAGACTTTATCTTTGGGAAGAGTCGGAGAGCGTTCTGTGTCGTCACCTCCATCACCTCCTGCAGCGACACTCCTTTAATCTTGCTGATGTACTCGGCAGAGACACAGATGTTTTTTGGCTCGTTTCTCACCTGCATTCAGGACACAGAACAAGAATGATAAGACATGCGTGTGTGACTAAAACTTGTAGTTTAGTTGCAAATATGTACATCAAATAAAAAGCTTTATATTGCAAATATCCTCCTGAAAATATAACATGCAATGCAAATGAGTAAAAAACATTTGACCTGTTTTTCTGGACCAAGAGCAGGTGAATCTGTTTCTAGACAGATGTTCTCTAACGGCAACTGTTTCACGAGTTTCTGCTTCTTGGTGGAAAACACAAAATAACCATCATCAATCATTAACATTCAATGTGATAAAGTCAAACAAGCCAACATGTCAGTGCTGTTTGATGAGACTGTAAGTAGTTTAGCTGCTCATATATACAAACGACAAAGACATTCATTCATACAATTTGCAACAGTGTCTGTAAAATCAAATTTCACAATAAATGTGTTTATTTACACATAAATGACAAATAGGAATATGTATGAGTCAGTAAACAGAATGCTTGTTTGAACAGGTTGTGATACGGAGTACATTTAACCAGACCAGGTGCTCTGTTGTACCTGATCACTGCGTATGATGGATGGTGGGATAGAGAAGAAATATCCAGCCTTCACTCCCTCCATGGCAACAGATGGCTTCCCATCAAAAGCATGAAGCAGGGCTTTTTCGACACCTGGTGACATTTTAGAGGAACTGCAGTTAACTTCTAAACCACTCAAGTAAACACAAGAGAGTCTGAACTTTAATGTTTACCTTGCTCCTTCAGGAGCTGGATGGTGGGTCTTCCAGCAGACCGTGAATGAACATTCCTAGAAATTAAATAAACATACAAATATTATGTATTTTATGTTAATGCAATACTTATATTAAAGGTCTTTAAAAAGTCTTCTTCTGCACATTTTATCAGATTCAGGGAACGCCACTAATAGTTGTTTGTTCATATGTATTAAATGATTTCTCAAAGTCAAGGATTGTGTGCGAGTGGATTTCTTAAATTCAAATATTGTCAGGAAACATGGCACTGATTAGACGACGTTATGACATGAAGTACCTGATGAAGACGTAATGATACTCGTAAATGTTTTTGCGGAGCATCTAATCGGTGTACGGGCGCCTTTTTCTTTTTATTGCTTTTGCCTTTTCACCTGATATAATGTCGGGACATACACTAACTTGTTAAGCTGAAATAAAAATTGTATATCTTCTACAGTGAGACTCACAGAGGGAGATCCAGTTCCTTGGCTATCTGTGCCTGACGAATGAGGACCTGCCTCTGGCTGTCTTTGTCAGTCTCACCCCTGACGTATCTGGGTGTAAAATCCAAACCAACCTAAAGCAACAGATGGGAAAACGACGGTTAACACAAAAGAAAGCCAGGATAGCAAACTGCTGTTCGATTAAGTCACATCAGAGATACTGATTATTACCTCCCCAATGGCCACAAGGTGGTCTTTGTATTTCTCTATTATGGGTAGAGCTGCATCTAGATCCTGCAGAGAGAAAAGGAAAAACATCCTTAATTCCTTCACTCCAACGTGACAACTACAGAAATTCACCCAAATTACTAAAACACACATTATCTCACTGACCCCTCATGGAATGGTCCAGGTTTTGAGTCATCTGCCACTGAGATTCCTGCCACCATCCCAACACTGTGGGTGTGATTGGACTTGTGTTTGTGCTGCGCATTGAAAATTACATTTAGAAAAAAATATCAGCAGCAACAACACGTCTTTCCAGGCACAATGTGGCTCTGGAGCGGTTTTCATTGGAGCTACTTTACATTGTTTCAGGAAGGAGGTGTTGCTGTATTTCAATGTTGTGAACAAAATTATATTCAAGCCACTGTTATTTATAAAGCAATAAAACTAATAGACCCTCTATTCAGATAAAGAACCCGTTCACATCTGACCCGTGTTGCAGGTCTTTCCTCTTGTTTCCTATCATCTCTATACCGTTGTTTTTAAGTTAGGGTAAAAAATAATGTTTTAATAGAACATGCAAAAAGATAATATACAGTATATCAACTAAAGCTACATTAGTAGAATTACAAAATGGAGAAAGATTATGAAAATGTACGTTCATCACGAGCACACACGCATATCCATAGTGTGGATCAGAGAGGATGGCGGTCAGGAACTTCGTTGCATCTGTACTATAGGCGAGTGAGGAAATATGTTTTGTTTGTAATAATTTGGGTGAGCTGACCCTTTAAACTCGAGCCCACCTGGAGAGAAGCCCCCCTCTGCTGCTCTGGGGAAACCTCTTGAACAGGATGGACTCCTAGGCAGGGAAAAATGAAACCTGGAAACCTAGAAAAATAAAGTGAAAACGTCAGAAAACAAAGAGACAAGTTAAGTTACAATCATGTCGCTCCAATAACTACCTTTGTGACAACTCAATAATCTTCTCAAATTCCCCAGCATGCTCGGCCACGGCTAACAGAGCCAACAACCCAGCCTTGGAAACAATAAAAGCAAAAGTTAAAACCACAATAACTATTGTGGACAATGCTTCTCAGGGACACGTGCTCACCTTTTTTGAATTCTCAACCACCTCCTCTATGTCCTGACAACGAACAGACAAACAAACACATTAGAAGATATTTCAGATATAAAAATCCTCTCGTGTCCTTTTAAAGTGTGAGCATACCTTGTCAAAATCCCCCGCAGAGATATGACAGTGGCAGTCGACGTAGCCATGCATGGGTAACGTATTTGTTCAAAACATTAACCTACTTCCGCAAAGTGAGGCGGAACGCGCATGCGTACAGCTCGAAGGAGCGCGCGATGTAGAACGCAGCGCTGCCCGGGGAAGCGGCGCTCCATTCCGTCTGATTGGTTTGAACGGTTGAACCTCCTCGGTGCACCGACGACGGTGAACAAATCAAGCATCCCCACTGTCATCAAGAAATATTCCACATTACCATCACCTGATGTTCAGAGGTTGTTCCTGTTATGCACTTTAGATTTATCATGTGATCTTTTTAGACATTACCCTTGAGCTTCTTCATGCACACACACGGTTCTCGAGATTGTTGTGATTTTTTTTTTACCTGAAATGGGAAGTTTAACAGTTTCTTTCCTGTTATCAATGCTGTTTATCGGCACCGGCGGAACAACAAAATACGAACCGAACTGGGAGTCTATCGACTCCAGACCACTACCAGAGTGGTACGATCAGGCCAAGTTTGGCATCTTCATACACTGGGGGGTCTTCTCTGTCCCGAGCTTCGGCAGCGAGTGGTTCTGGTGAGTTTTGTTGGGTTTCTTGCATTTAACATTTTCATGTTATGGTTTCAATTTTACAGACAGGGGGAGTTTAGGGAAGTGATGGTGATATGCAGGTAAACTAATCATACAATGTAATGAATTGCTGCAAATATACGGTATCTTACAGTATTTCATAATAACTGTAACATACAGTTAACCAGCATAATTTACTTTATTATGGCTGGATGCTTATTCATCATAAACTATGACTGTTAACTTGGCTCTTGATATGTAAATGTTTTGTAATTGTGAATTTGGCTGCAGAACTTTTAAAACAACATTCCCGGGTGTTGAGGGCTGATGATCCCGACCTCTGCGGTGAATAATATCACAGAGGGCCTCCTCATGAAATGCATCACATCGAAGAAAACAAATGTGGCTCGTCTTCCTTCAGTCTGTTTTGTGTCTGTTTCCTGTTCCAGGAAGTACTGGCAGGGTCAAAAAGCAAAGCCGTATGTTGACTTCATGAAGAAGAATTATCCTCCAGACTTCAAGTATCAAGACTTTGCGCCGCTGTTCACCGCGGAGTTCTTTGATGCCAAAGAGTGGACGGACATCTTTGCCTCATCGGGGGCCAAGTACATTGTCCTGACAACAAAACACCATGAAGGTACAAGACATGATCGACATCCTGCCTTTGTTTTTTCTAGTTTAAGTTATTTTATGGTCAGATCATTTCAGAGCACTAAAACGAGGAGATAATTCCACATATTTTGAGGGTTAGTGCCACGCTGCATCCTTTCTGCAGTTCAGGAGATGTATTGTTTTGTCTTTGTATTTTCAGGTTTCACACTCTGGGGCTCAAAAAACTCCTGGAACTGGAACGCAGTGGATGTTGGACCGAAAAGGGATCTGGTAGAGGAGGTGGCGAGTGCCCTCCGTGCTAACAGTGACCTGCATTTAGGGCTGTATCACTCTCTCTTTGAGTGGTTTAATCCGCTCTTTGAACAGGACGCTGCCAATGTCTTCACGACAAACTACTTTCCAACCACTAAAACTCTGCCTGAGCTTTATGAGCTCATTGTCAAGTACAAACCGGAGGTGCTGTGGTCTGATGGGGACGGAGATGCGCCTGACAAGTACTGGAACAGCACAGGGTTCTTAGCCTGGCTCTATAATGACAGGTAGTTATGAATTCGTACAGTGAGTGTATGTTTTATTAGATTTATCCTTTTACACAGCCAGCGGGATAATAACTTGTATGTCTTCACAGTCCCGTACGAGACACGGTGGTGACGAATGATCGCTGGGGCTATGGCTCCATCTGCAAACACGGCGGATATTACACCTGCACTGATCGCTACCAGCCAGGACACCTGCTCAAACACAAGTGGGAAAACTGCATGACCATCGACACAAAGTCCTGGGGTTACAGACGCAACGCTCCTCTCAGTGATTACCTCACCACCCAGCAGCTTGTAGCGGTGAGAGTTGAATACAGTTTTATTACGTAAAGATTGAATAAACGTATTGAGGATTTAGCTTAAAGGGCCAGTGTGTAACATTTTGGGGATTCTATTAGTAGAAATGGAATATAATATTCATAATTAAGTTTTAATTAGTGTATAATGACCTGCAACTAAGAGTCCTTGTGTTTTCATTAGCTCAGAAGGATTCCTTCATAGCTACATATGCCATGTTGCACCAACATGTTTCTACACTGGCTCTAGAGAGAACCTTTCAGAAGCTTTGTGCAATAAAATTCAAATTTATAAAATCCAACCTGGTGTTTCAGTCATTGGTGGAGACGGTGTCCTGTGGGGGAAACCTGCTGATGAACATCGGCCCGACACACGACGGAAGGATCGTTCCCATCTTTGAGGAGCGTCTGAGGCAGATGGGTCAGTGGCTGAAGGTCAACGGGGAGTCTATCTACAACACAACAGCATGGCGGGTTCAGAAGGACGCCGTCACTCCGACTGTCTGGTGGGTTTCTCTGGAATAGATAACTTTAGTTTTTCCCTAAAGTGAAATAAGATCAAATACTGTTTGATGTTTTCTAAGCTCATACAGAGGCCTGTATTATGGTGAATAATTATATGTATGTAATTGCAGGTACACCTTCAGACCACAGCAAAAGAGCATCTTTGCTCTTTTGCTGGAGTGGCCCAACAATGGATCTGTGATTCTGAATGAACCTGTGGTTACTCAAGGACAGACTCGGGTAAGACGAGAGCTTTGGTCGAGTAATTATTGTTATAATATCATGACTGCTGAGTAACAACAAATTGCAGCACAGAAATGCCAAAGATATGTTTGAGGTCATCTCTCCATGACATACATTGTTTACCAATAAGTTTATCTTTTAGCTGCAAGATTTCCCGGTTCAGTGTGTTACTTGGTTGATTCTTTAAAAAGCCATATTTTAGGGATCCTTATTAAAAAATATTTGTTCATGTTCTGTGTTGTTTTTTTAGTATCAGCTCTGATTAGGCTTTGATTTAAATGGTATTTGAAGGCAGCCACTTATGTTTTTAAACTGAAGTCACCAATAGCATACTTCTTGTTGCTGATAATCAATAATATCTGTTAGATGTGACTATTTTAATGCCATATATTCCGTATGTTTAGGACAGTAGAGCTCTCCAGCCTACCTCACAATAACGACATTCTCTATGCAGAGTTAGCCGCCGCTTAATGCTATAACTATAACTCACTGTACTGTTCAGTGGTACAGAGGCTCCGGGTATGCATGTCACCGGTTTACATAAAGAATTATAGTAGCACACAAGGCTACAAATAATTGTTATTTTCATTGCTAATTTATCCAACAATTATTTTCTCAATTAATTGATTCATAAATAAGTAATGAAATAAATAGTGAAAACTGTTTTTAGAGTCAGTGTAAAAACCTAAATAGACTTAAAAATAAAATTTATATTAAATAAAATAGAGAAATAGCAGCACATCCTTACATTGGAGAAGCTGGAACCAAAGAACTGCTTAAAAAGTATTCGACGTTTAAACAATTTTATGAAATATTTAAGAATTGACTAATCAGATAATTTACTAATAGTTCCAGATCTAATAGCATAAATTGATGACACAAATAAATAAAATCGGCAAAGAAACAAATGTATACAGTAGCTGGTTTTTCAGACGGTTTAGTAGCTGTGGTCAGAGAAGAACCTCCATCATATTAACGGAGCCAGTATTTAATTAAAGGCTCAATATAGCGGTCTAACGCTGCTGGAATGTCCAATAACCGCACTGCATCCTGGGAAATGAGGTTGACTCGTTCACAGAGCAGCTCTCTCTATTTCTCTATTTCTCTCGTTCTGTCAACGTTGTTCATGTGTTGCCTTTGTTCAAAAAAAAAAAAGGTGGTGCTTGTCGGCCATGGGTCTCTGAAGTGGGAGCCTGTTAAGCCCAGCGGGCTGCGGGTTCTCCTCCCCCAGCTGTCCATCAACCAGATGCCTTGCCAGTGGGCCTGGACACTGAAGCTGACAGGTGCCATTTAAAGGGAAACCAGATCAGCTCTAGAGGAACTGACAGAGCTGCAGGCCGAGAGAAGGACCCGACGTTGTACTGTATATGTTTAAACACTGTACATAAAATGTACTGAACTGAGTCGCACACATAAAATGTTTTGAAATACTTAACATGAACACATGATCACTGGTTTTGACCTGGTTAACTTTTATGATTAAAGTCTTTTGTTCTAGCGCCAATGGTGGAATGTAATGAAGTAAATTTACTCAAGTACTGTACTTAAGTATAATTTTGAGGTACTTTATGTCAGTATTTCAATTGTATGCCACTTCATGCTTCTACTCCACCACATCTTGAAAGCCAATATTGTACTTTGTACTTCAAATTATTAATTATTCAACATTAGTTACTTTGCAGATTCCGCTTATTGATTACAAACTTTTACATCAGTAATTTTAGGTTGACCAATAGTATATGCATCATTCAACAATTGTTCTGCACTTTGGGATTATTTTGAAGGCTAAATATTTGTATGTGATTGTGATGCAGTCTGCTGCATTGATCAGTGCTGTGGTGAATGTTTTACATGTGAGGAAATGTTTTAATTTAAGTCTTCAAGCACCATTTTTTTTTACATGTGTATGTTTATATGTTTTAATAAATCTTTTGATTGTATCAGCTTGACCATCTCACTCCTGGATTACTACAGTGTATGGCGTCCCGTTAGCGCCCCCTTGCTGCCCACATCTGTAATAACACCCCGGCCTTGCGTGACATTTTTGAGAACGCTGACGGCGCAAAACTGATCTCTTCTCCCCTGCTGTGCACGGACGACCCAGGAAAACAAGACTCCCCGTCATGCATCAGAACAAATGTCTGTGGAATGAAGTGATCTGCGCGCTGCACAGTGACTGGTGAGCCTCTGCTCCCAGCTGCTCCCATACTGGGTTTTAAAGCCGTAATTATGTGCCTCCTGCCGCCGCCGATCCGCGATACAAAGAGGTGTATTTAGTCACCTAGGCTAAGATGGTGCGTCCGGTGCAGGCAGGTCTCACTGTTGTGTCTGCTCTCTGTTGCACGCCTTTGAGGTGGGAGGTCCCTGTTCTGCAAATGTTCCATGACGTGCAGATGGGGGGTCTGTAAGGGGTTCTCACGTCCGTGCATTTCCCCCCCTTCGGTAGGCTATCCCCCAGCCTGGGACCCCGCATGACAGCTGATCCCCGAAACAACAACAACAGAAAGACGTGAGGACAAATGTACAGTGGACTGTAGATGCAGTAGGGCTGCCACATTTTAGTGAAAGTTGGCGAGTTCCACTCATTTCTAAGCTCACAAATGTATCCCATGTTCATGTTTGTAGAATGAGGAGGAGCAGACAACTTAAGCTCTGACATGTGAAGGTTAATACAATGTATGGACTTTAAGTTGAATTATATCTTGAGGATTTGATCACATCATGACATAGTTTTGTGTTATGTTGCCCAAATTAAAGCATTTGGGGAAATACAAAATACACTAACAAAGAAAAACTAACAAGATTAAGATTTTTTTCTAATTTAGAGCTGCAGCTAATTATTATCTTTCCTTAAATATCAATCTGTTGACTATTTTCTAGATTAATTGATTCTTTTTTTCACCATTAAAAGTGTGTCCCACACTCAAATATCTTTAGTTTAATATCACAGAAGACTAATCTATTAATTTGCATGTTATTTAAACTATTAATTGTTTGGATTAATCGTCTATGGAAAGAATTCAGCATTGGTCCAAACCCCAAAAATACTGAGTTCACTGTTCTAGAAGGCTAAAAATAAAACGGCAAAATATTCCCATTTGAGACCTGGAACAAGTTTTTGGCTTTTTTGCTTAAAAAATGATTAATCAACTATCAATATAGTTTCTGATAGTAATAGTTACTATATTTACTGACTTATCCTTTCAACTCTAGTACAATAGGCTACATATTGTAGGAGTTAAACAGAGTGCACAGTGACATCCAATTTTGTGATGAATGCATATGACCTAAATTAAGGCATTTTATATTAAAAGACCCAGAGAAGATTTGCCTTTACTTTATATTTGATGTTACTCTAATTAAAACTATCTCTATTTTAATACCCATCAGCACAATAATTTATAACCTGTATGATCACATAATGACGCACTGTGTGCTTGAAGCCCGTGTGCTCATTTCTTTTCTGCAGTCTTGGTGCTGTAATGTGTGGTGGTAATTATATATGTAGACAGGAACCGGGAAAAGTGCTACAGACGTTGGCATGGTTGCCATGGAAACACACAATCATGTCAAGATTTTTTTTTTTTCCCCAGGTACTGCTGTGATAATGGCACAAAGTACGCCTGGTTTGAGAGAGCTGGCGGATGAATTAAACGGTGGTCGACTGATCAAAAGTGGCGTTTTTTTTTGGCTTTGGAAAGAATTAATGAGGCTTCAAGTGAGATTTGTAGACCTGCAGGATTCAGGGTTTGTTTAATAGTTATGGGTGTTTGTATCAGCTCTTTGTTCAACCTGCAGTGTTCAGTGTCCCCTGTAAATGATATCGCAGTCAGCCACATGACAGCCACTACAGCCAGCAGAGAGGAAAACCTCATTCCTTCCATTCATAAACACCCCCYCTCTCTCTSTGTGTGTGTGTGTGTGTGTGTGTGTGTGTGTGTGTGTGTGTGTGTGTGTGTGTGTGTGTTGTCCCCTCCGTCTCACCCCTCCTCCCATCGGTTTCACCACTAACATCATTAGAGGCCTGCTAGTAGTCGGGTGCCTATGTGGCATTCAATCACACGCAAATTTGTAGCAGATTTGAGGCGGTCAGCAGAGCCGCGGTGGAGCTTTAGATGGTGGAAATGCCAAAGCAGTGTGGAACATCCTGGGGGACAGACCATTATATTTATAGAGATGGGCGACTTGACCTTCACTGCACATTGAGTATCAGCCATTTTAGTGCCGCTCCTCTAGATACCGAATACAGCATAATGGATCTCAGCTGCAGTGCAGTTAGTTAGCTTCAACTTCATCTTCGGCTTGTTAGAGGCTAATAATAGCTCTCTGCAATTCCATACTGTGGACGGACTCTGTCAATAGACAGTCTCTGCATTCACTGCTTTTTTGGCACACAGAGTATCTAAAGGACATGCACTGTGAAATTACAGTTTTCACTTTGCAGTAGAATAAAGGCTTGCCATTTGGGCAGGATTATGAACTTAGAGGTGAAGGTCAACTATAAGTCGTTACGTGAGTTTAAAGCCTTTGTTCTGCTGTGTAAGCTCCATGTTAAGAGAAAGACCTCTGATAAATATGGCTTAGCCATAGCTCAAAGCCAAGGACTCCTATTCATAGAAGCACCCAGTTGTTCTCACCCAATGGCACAGAGTGAAACTGAGGAGGATGGTCAAAGCGGGTGAAGTATTTATAGTCGTGTAAATTATAAAGTTTACCACAAATGACTGAGCGATCATACATCCATTCAAATCAGGGGAAAGACTCGGTTTGTTGTATTCAGAGCAGCTTCTGAACAAATTATTATAGAAATAGATTTTGGCATGTGTTCAGCCGTCACATAAAATCAAAACAAATTCAGTGGTGTGTCATGTGTTCTACCTGTGGCTGCAGGTGGGGCTCAGGCGGTCTGTAGTAGTTTAATCTAACATCAAGTTTCGTATTTAAAATCTTTACCTGTAGAATAACTGCAGCAGTCAAATAAATACATGTAGTGGAGTAAACACTACAATATTTCCCTCTGACAATGTCGTGAAGATAAAGTACAAAGAAATACAAAATGCAAATGTAATACACAAGCAAATTCCCTCAAAATTGCACTAAAGTAGTATTTAAGTAAATGTAGTAGCAGTGGTGTAAGAAGTACTCACATCCTTGACTTTAGTAAAAGTACTAATCCTAATACCAACACATTGTTGTATAACTGCATTACTGAGCTAGTTTACAGACTTTAATGAATTAAACTTGACTCCAAACATTACAATGTCTTTAATATACATAGAAATTTAGCTAATTAGACAGTTTGTACTGTATATAAAATATCTGAAAAGTAACGGGAACTTTAGCTATAAAATTCCTCTCTCTGAAATGTAGTGGAGTACACGTACAAAGTACCACAAAATGTAAAAACTCAAAGAAAGTAAAAATACCTTGTAAATTGTACCAAAACTCGGTATTTTAATGATTCCAAATATTTGAGTTGCCTGTCTGGCTCATTTTTCCTTTGACTGCTGTCCACATGAAATTTGTGAAATAACTTGTTGAGCCGGAAGTATTAGAGACTTGTTACTGTAATAAAAGAAATCACATATGTAGATGTAAGAAACTATAAAAGAAAACAAAATAAACAACCTCATTGAAATGTTAATGATGTAATTAGTCTCGTCAATAATATGCATTTAATTGTGGAGTGTGTTCACTTGCAAATAAAATATGACAATACAGAAAAAATAACAATAGTTTTTTGAGCTTTGCGCTTATAAAAAGTAGTATCTTTACATTTGCATTGAATTTTGGGTAAAGTCACATAAAGAGGAAGTATTTACTGAGCAGAAGTTAATGTAGAGGCTGTAATGGCACCATGTCACACTGAACTCGTGCATCTAATTCACAGGATGAGGTCTGCAGCTGCACATAATCTGCAGTATTGTCCTAGCTTTTCTTTTTTCTTGCCGTGTTAATGACACCCTCATCACGACTCTCTCCATTCACAAAGCGAATCCTGTCGTGATGGGAGAGAACTGGCTCTGAACAGACTGTGGGTGTCTCAGGATTCGGAGAACATGTCTAATTTTTGCAGCATCCTTACAGCCAGCCACACGCTGTCTTTTCATTGAGTTCCTCTCTGTATACAACATGAATAGGATCACGCTGTAGGAAATGTACATTCAGAGTGGCTGCACCATGTGATTAGTGTCTTTCAAAGCGCTTGTCACTTTTGCTCTTCTGCTCTGCATATATTCACATACTCTGTCCAACTGATTTAGATCAGATTATTGTGTGTACCTGAATGAACCTGTGTCTTCATCCAGATCACACAATATCGGGCTAAAATAAACGACTGAATCCGGGAATGAATGGACTCCTGCTATCTAAGAAAGGGGATGTTTAGCATAATATCTGACTCCCCACTTTGTGTGTAGAGTGAGGCAGCTCCCGCTGTGCTTTGAAACAGAGTGAGAGAGAGAGGAAAAGCGTCCTTAAACGTGGGCTGTTGTGTAATCCCTCCCAGGGCCCCTTTGCTATTTTTGTGCCTGGGTCCGCACGTCACGGTTGGGTATTTTCTCTGGTGACTAGCTCGCATCAATAGATCTTCTAATGTACACCCAGTCAGCCAGCAGCTTCATGACTGATGGGACTTTACCTTGCTAATTTATTTCAGTATTGTTACCCCGACATGAGGAGAATGGAGAAACGGACTATGCAGCATGAGGAATGTCACATGTGACTGTCGATATGGGACAGGGGACTATTCAAATGTCAGGTTTGTATGAGGATTATATTTGATATCTGAATGTCAGCTGCCATATGAACCGAGGATTTTTCCCCCCCCATCAGACCGTGTGCTTTATGTCATTCTGATCACAGTGAGAGCTGCTGATTGATTCTGCATGCTATGTGCTACGTTGCTGTCAGAGCACCACAGAGGGTTTTACCATCCAGCGTCTCTGAAGTCATCTCTGTATGATATTTATGGATTTGTTGTCAGCATGACAACAAATCCATAAATATCATACCTATCACGCCTGTTCCCTTTAATGGCCAACTTAGCCTCTATATGATGTAATGCAGCGGCATAGTGGTGCTCTCCTTAACCAGCATTTGTTTTCTCATTGCCCTCTCTCGTGTGTGGAGAGCAGTAAGGGATGTGCCCTACGAATGTCTGCTGTTCAAATAAATCTCACCATGAAGTCATTTCTCCATCCATGCGGGCATACTGTACCACAGTCAGCCCACAGTCATCCCGAAACACACCTACTGCCTCCCACCTGCCTGCTGTTGTTGCACGTCAATGCTGCTGTGTCATATATTTCCGTATATGTTAGTGCTTGTTGCTGGGAGCGAGAGTAATTTGCAGTGAATTGTCTGCTGGTACAGCATTTATATCCAAATAAGAAAAGTATGAATCTGTTGAGAGATTTGTCAATGAGACTCTGAATATGTCGGCTCTGTTCGCTCTCTATCGCGCTTAGTCTAAAGGTATGCATTGTTTCTGAGGGTCTTATCTTGCTGTCACTCTGCACCCATATTCCCCTTTCCTCCACTCGGAGCTCACACCGAGGATGGAAAACTAAGCAATGAGGTCAGACCGACCTTGAAGGGGAGCTCCCTACCGGGCCTCTGAATTTATTTACCCCCAGGCACCCCACTTAGTTCACCTCCGTAAACCTCCCTGTTAAAACATGGATCGTTCCAATCTGAGGCATGCGCTCGCCATCCTTCATTATCTTTCCTCTATCCTGCTCTGGAAGAAGCCCTTAAATCTGTCCGAAAGCAGAGCTTAGGCACTGGGCTTTTGCACAACAACAAAAAACAACAAAGGGGAGATTATTACAGATTACAGCTGTTTTCAAGCATCTCTTGAGTCACCTTGGATTCATATCCTCTGGTTAATGCCTGAGGAGAGTGTGGTGCGCTAACAAAGAAAGAGAGGGAGTGAGAGAAAGAGAGTGAGAGTCGGAGGATGTCCTAATTAAGGGGAACTCAGAGGGTTTGAACCAGATAATCTTACATAACCTCGTTAGGGGAGGACACAGCATTTGATACTGAGAAGATGGAAATGACGTGCCCTCAGAGACGCATCCCCATGGCATGAAGCGAAAGTATAGCGGCAAAAGCAATTCACTTTAACCGCGGGGGAGGATGAGGTTTCTTCTTGGAGTCCGGCGTGTTTATGAGCAGGACGGCACGTCATCCCGTGCAGCTCTGTGTGTAAACTATGATGACACTAGAGAGACAGACAGGTTAAAGGGTGTGAATCCCACCAGAGACAAGAGCCCTGAAGGTGTTATACTGTGATTCTGGCATTGGAATAAAGACTTAAGCATTGTATTTTATGTAGATATCACATCGAAAAGGGCCACAGCTGGACTCATTGACCATGATCTACAGTAACTGTCTGTCACTTGTGTGTGCTGGCATGCATCGACACACACACACACACACACACACACACACACCGTCATACTTTTTTTTCTGACATTCCCCCATCTTCTGCAGAGTTTTATAATTTTCCCTTGTGTAGATCATTTTCACTTTTTTGGCATTTGCAACAGCCTACCATGTTGACAAAAACTGAACAAGTGAAATTGAAAAGTAAAAATCTGTGATATATGATAAAGTATATGGGTGATATATTGTAGATATTTACCTGTTGTTTTGCAAAATATATTAATAAAGGTGACAATTCACATTGAAGGAAAATACGTTGATTTTCGTTGAAAGGAGATGCTGCTGTGATGAAGGATTTGATTCCTATTCAGCTCTCTCTCTCTCTCACACACAAACACACACACACACAAAATAAGCGTATACAACCATTCATGGCACACTTACAGTAAAAGCATTTGCCTTAAATACCGACACTTTCACATGGGCATCTGTCACGGTTGACATGAGGTACCTTTGGCTTTTTAGAGGCTGTTAAAGAGAAAATAATGTTTTTTCCATTCCTGCTGTGAAGGAGCTCGTTATGAATTTTATTTGAAGGACTTTTGGGAAACAGCTTCGCTCTCCCTCTCAAGGAGAGGATTTATAGGAGGAGCATTTTTATAACTAGATTACCCTCTTGTGCATCTGCATGTGGTCCTAGTTTAGGTGATTGTTTGTCATACATCCATATTTGTCTAATTGTAGTTTCTGTCTGATTTCTTCCAGGTGACCCTTCCCGGCAATCAGTTCACGTGTATGCTAATATCACTACGGTTACATAACAGGTAGTGTCCTTGTAAATCGATCCCAAAGAAAGAGACATTGGATTTATGGAGTCACTTGAAACTACTGCAGGGGTGAAAAGCTCCACTGAGGGTCAGGACAGAAATGTTGTTGCACAGAAAAAATGCACCTCAGAGGCAGCACAGACTAGGAGGAGTCCATCAGTCGAATTGGAAGGCAAAGGGTGGCACCAACAACTGCAAGAAGGTCAGAGCCGAGACACATGTGGTTTCAAAGAAATGTCTGACTCAGGGAAATTACCACAATTAGAAGATCAGCACTCCCAAACTCAGTCCGCAAGCCATCAAGACCATGAGGTGTCTTCGTATCCAGTACAGCCCACGAAACCATTTCCCATTGGCAGACAGAAAGCTGTAGGTCACTTAGTTTCTGCAGAGTCCCCTGGACCTGTGTCTCACAGGAAGTCCACCAGTTCACCTGAAGTCCAACAACAGTGTTCCCATTCAGGGATGGATCAGCTGTCAGAAGCTGCGTCTAAGGTGGAGCAGAAACCACAAAAGCCTGGGAAGTATGTTTGTGATTACTGCGGAAGGGCATGTGCCAAACCCAGCGTGCTTAAGAAACATATTCGCTCACACACCGGGGAGCGGCCCTATCCGTGTGTCCCGTGTGGATTCTCCTTCAAAACGAAGAGTAATTTATACAAACACAGAAAGTCCCACGCTCACGCGGTCAAAGCTGGAACAGTGCCACTCTCAGAACTGGGTTCTTACAATGCCAACACAGACCAGGGGTCTTTTGAAGGGGAAGGAGAGTTATTCTCTGATGCTGAGCAAAGCACGGACACGGATGAGGACACTCTTAACGACCCGCTGCTGCTGCTGGACTCTCCAGTGGACGGATCAGATAACACTGCTGTAAAAGTACTAAATCTCATTGCTCAGAAGAAGGGAGCCACGTCGATCTCAGCTCAGGATGGTTCATCCCAGCCCCAAGAAATCAATGCACCTCCAGCTGGTACCGAGGCTAGCCGTGCAATTCAATCTTGCACGATCAAACAGAGGCTTGCACTTCGGCTGTCTGAAAAAAGAAGCAGCGACTCGGACCACAATCTGTCCCTCCCGAGTCAGTCTAGCAAGGGCAGCACGGACTCCGGCTACTTCTCGCGCTCCGAGAGTACCGAGCACCAGACCGGTCCCCCCAACACTAACGCAAAGTCCTATCAAGAAATCATGTTTGGGAAGTGTTACAGGCCAAGCCCTAAACAGACGGCAGCTTTTGTGGCTTGTAGCACCGACTCAAGTGAATACACAGGGAGACGCTCGGAGAAAGGCGTTTCCCGTGTTTTCACCCAAGAAAAAGACACCGTTGAGCCAATCAAAATAAACACAAAATCATTCTCGAGAGAGGAGGTAAAAGAACCGCAGTTAGACGCTGGCTCTGATGTAGGGACTCTGATAAGAAGCAACTCAATGCCAACATCCTCGGCAGTGTGTCTGACTATGCCTCAAGCCCTCAGAGGCAGCCACTCTTTTGATGAAAGAACAAGCACCGGGGGCATGAGGAGGCTCAGGCGGCAAGCTGCTTTCGAACACTCCGCACATGACGGCCACGCAGACGCAGACAGCCACGGAAAGATGAGCGAGAGTGGCATTTCACCCTCAGGATTGGAGATGGAAAATTACCCCTCCATGGCATCTAATATGAGCCATCAGAGACACGCAATGGAACTGGCAACGCGGAAGCGTCGGAAAGAGAAGAGGGAGGAGGAAGATTTGCCAGGTCAATATGAGTGCCTTCACGAACAATGTGAAGAAATGTTTGACTCAAGTAAGGACTATGATTCAAAACAAGCTGCTGTGGGCCTTATGGCATTAGGACAAGGACATTCTTCAAGTATGCTAACGCAGATGGACAGGTGTGACATGGACATATCAGTGAGCCCTGAAATGTCCGGTAGGAAAACTTTAGGGAATGTAATTTCTGTTATCCAGCACACAAACTCAATAAACAGGACCCACTCTGAACAGTCAGAATCATACAAGTACCATGGGCAGAGACAGGATAGTATTTCTTTGTTTCAAGCTATGGAGGCAAGTGAATCATATGAGTTGGAAAGGAGTGATGGCAGGCTAAGGCAATCATTTCAACTGGGACCCAAACTTGTGCGACAGCCCAACATACAAGTCCCAGAAATCAGGGTGACAGTAGAGCCTGACAGTCCAGAAAAAGCTCCTGAGGTGCAGGTGAAGGAGCCAGAGAAGCACGTGGAGGAGTTTCAGTGGCCTCAAAGGAGTGAAACTTTAGCACAGTTCCCTCCAGAAAAGCTCCCTCCAAAGAAGAAAAGGCTACGCTTAGCTGATATCGAGCATTCCTCTGGCGAATCTAGTTTCGAGTCTGCCTGCACTAGTCTCTCCCGCAGCCCGAGCCAAGACAGCAACTTATCTTATTGCTCCGCCTTCTCCTTTGACAGGGAGGAGAGTTTGAAGTCAGTCTCTCCAGCCAGGCAGGATGAATTTGGCAAACCGCTAGAGCTCTTAGCAGTACCAGGGAGTGGGCACTCCCTCTCTGTGCTCAGCCAGCGTCAACAACATGAAATGAGACGCTCCTGCTCGGAGCAGGCGCCGTGTAACTTGCGCAGGGAGTTCCCAGAGGTACGCAGCGTATCATTTGATTATGGCAGCCTTTCTCCAACATCCAAAGTTAGACCGGTGGACATCAGCCTCTCGGCGTCGAGGGAGAGAAGGAGGGGAAACTTGGTGCGGCAGGAGTCATTGAATATGGACACTGAGGTAACACAAGTCCCATCACAAGTGTTTCCGCAGCACCTCAGCAGCACCTCCCCTCCATTCACAGCAGTTGCTGTTCTGCCGCAGACTTTGCCAATATTCTCCACGGGGAATACATTCCCCCAGCTGTCACATCCGAGCCTTTTAGTTCCCGTACGATTACAGACTCATGTGCCATCCTACGGCAGTATCACATACACTTCAGTATCACAGATTTTTGACAATCAGTATGACAGTGTTAGCTCCACTACGTCCTCCTCTCAGAATCAGATTTCCCGTTTGTCTGGAAATCTTGATTCTCATAACATATTAGCTTATACCAGACCACCTTCGATGCACACCCTCAGTGTAGAAGCCCTTGATTTGTCTTCAGCTAAGCTCAAGACAGGCATCCCGCTCTCCCTGACCTCCAGAACTATCTCAACCACTAACGCCTCCAGTGGTGGCACCAACAAACGGATGCTGTCCCCTGCCAGCAGCCTGGACCTTTTCATGGAGGTCAAGCAGCAAAAACGTGTGAAAGAGGAAAGAATGTTTGGGCAGATAGTAGAGGAGCTGAGTGCTGTGGAGTTGGGAAATTGTAATTTGAGCGAAGAGAAGGGGCACAGGTCAGAGATGCAGGGCGCATCCACACCTCATGCTCAGGATGACTCACGTATGAGTAAATGTATCACACTTCAACAGAAAGTGACAGAGGACTCTGAACACGGCGTTGAGTCAGCCATGGAAAGTAGCTCCACGGAAACCAGCTCACCTCCCTACTCCATGATATCAGTCAGCGAAGTGAAAGAAGTTGGCATGGAGAAACGAGCGCAGATGGACATGGTGGCGCAGCTGGTCACCAGTCAAGACGGCCTGATCTCAGACACAGAGAATTCAAGACTTCTATCTCAGTTTCCAAGTCTTCGCACGACGACAGGAGTGAGCTGGTGTTATCTTAACTACACCAAGCCGAGCTGCTCTCACAGCAACGCCCCTTTCTCCTCCGTGTACACCACCTGGTGTGTGAGTTCCCACAACCCGAACCCTCTTGAGCTGAGTACCAGCACTGCTCTGGCTCTGCTGCGGTCCAAACAGAGGGGAGACAAGGTTATATACACCGTGGCAGCCATGTGTCAGCCTGGCGCGGGGAAACTGGTGTCTTCCCTCATCCTGTGGAGGCAGACCATGGAACAGGTGAGAAAATAGTCCCATCTCTGCAACGTTTCTAAAGCACACCACTGTCTGAAACATGCCCTTAAGAGCAAAGCCCCATTGATGACATATTCAATTGGTCTTGCAAGTATCACTATAGTCAAGCTGCACTGAGCAGTTTTCCACTTTGGTAGCCTGTCGTGCCAGTAAGAGATAAATGTTTGAAATGTAGAAAGTTTGAAGGACCTTATTACACAGAATTTGGCTCACATTAAATTGTTTGGCAGAAGGTTCACTCACTATTGGCAGGTTTCTGAAAATCATTTGCCCGCTGCTAGTTACGATGTTACAAGCTTTGATTCATTACTTGTTCTACATTTACCGTTTGAATAAAAAAAATATGTCTCCGCAGTGAAAATACCAGAAACCAAAATTATATTCAAGTACATATCGTGTCTTGGCAAAGGGATGTTTTTTCCCTGTTGCATTGGATTTAGCCTGATAAGATTGATAAATAATGACATAAAAGAAGTCATGCCTAGCGTAGCTTTCAGAGAATAGAAACATGAAAATCCACTCAATTTGAGTTATGCGTACCGTTTTTCCCCAGGCACCAGTAGCAGCAACATCATTTATGTTTCCAAAACATGCTGTGTAACACCATGTGTGACACACAATATTGGAAGCATCACGTTACGTTGTCGATGCGGCTTCGACTTAAAATAGATGTTAACAAAATGTTTGTTCATCTGATTCAGCTGCAGAGGAAACCGGAGCCCAAAGAGGTGGACATCACCTACGGGAAGAAGGTGAAAGACATCAGCTGCAGAGTGAAAACTGCCAAGGAGGAGTGGAAAGAGAGGGAGGCTTCCACACCCCAAACAGTGCCAACACGCATTAAGATCTTCGAGGGAGGGTCAGTCAAGATATTAGTTATCATAACACTTGTCAGTTCTGCTGACAGCAAATACAGCAGCTATATTAGGATGCTAGTGTCTGTCTATGCTGTTTTTACCTATTGAGGCCTGTTTTATGTATTTGTTCATTAGAATACCGTTTCTGTCTTTCAGGTACAAGTCCAATGAAGACTACGTGTATGTCAGAGGTCGAGGCCGGGGTAAATACATTTGTGAGGAGTGTGGTATTCGCTGTAAGAAGCCGAGCATGCTGAAAAAACACATCAGGACCCACACAGATGTGAGACCCTACATCTGCAGGGTCTGCAACTTTGCTTTTAAAACTAAAGGTGAGTATTCTTTAAGCTTACATAGAATACAAAAATACAGATTTTATAGATGATACAAAAGAAGAAAAATGTGTGCATAACAGATTTTGAAAAAAAACATTTGCAGCAGTGAATTCTCTGTAGTTTTTACTGCTATTTAGAGTGAATGTTGTCTCCTCCTTTTCTCTTTTATTATTTCTGGGAGAATTTTCTGAGCTGGACTTGGCTGCCATGCTCACTAGTAAAAACATAAAATAAAATCTGGGCTATTTGTAATAAAATTGTGGCTGTTTTTCAGTTAGAAATGGTAAATTATGACTTGTTTCGTCTTTCACAGGAAACCTGACGAAACATATGAAGTCAAAGGCACACATGAAGAAATGTCTTGAACTGGGAGTGTCAGTGACGATGGACGACACGGAGATACAGGAACATGGTAAGATACCAGCATATCAAATATCTTTGCAGATTCATAAACAAAGGCAGAATAAATCAGACTAAACTGATGCGTTTTTCTTTTTAAAGTGGACGACAGCCAACAAGAGTCCAAGACAGAGGCGGTAATCACAGCCAAACACCAGTTCTCAGACGTTGAGGACTCTGACGGCATGGACGAAGACATCGACGAAATTGACGAAGACGATGACGAGGACGACGAATACGAGGGCGACTCCACTCCAAAGTTGCGTTCAAGAAGCACGAGTCCTCAGCCGTGTGGAGTTACTTCTCTGGCAGTCACAGCCACCGCCGCTCTCCACGTCTATTCTCTCACCTCTCTGCCCGGCGCCGATGTCCGCCAACAGTCCTCTGACCGGCGGACCGGCTCGGATCATCGACCCGTCCTTGCAACCGACCAGAGGGAGAAGTCTGTGGATGAAGACTCTCTGACTATGCTGTCTCCAGACCAGGCCGGTTTCCTATTTGACCCCTACTCTTCCTGTCTGCTCTCTCCTGGTTGGGAGTCTCCCATCAGGGAGCCCTCCCCTTCACGTCTGCGTTACCCGTCCCCGAGGCGAGAACTCTCTCCGCGAGGTCGCTCCTCTCCCAGATGGGACACCTCCCCGCTGCGACCTGGCTCGCCCGGCTTCACACCCATTCAGCACCTCTCTCCGGTCTCCATTGAGCGACCGGTGTCTCCTGGAACAGAGCTGGCTGGAAAGCGAGAGTCCTCAGTCAGAGGCCGGCAGAGAGTCGTGCTGAGGGCGGTTTCGCCACGGAGAGGCTCGCACCAACACAGAGGGAGTGGTGATAAAACCCGACACCAGGCAAAGATGGAGATGGCTCAACACGGAGCCTTTGAAATGGAAATGGTACGCATCATGAATTGTTCAACTACACCTCTGCCAAATTGGGTTTTAGATTTGATGGTTCGGCCATTGGCAAAGGTGATAATGTTTTGGTACAGATTCACAATATTTAAAGGATTTCTGAATACTTAGATAGATCTGTTTAGTAAACTTTACAATGTTCTTATGAACTGCCAAACATACTGAAAAATGACATCCTATGATTGTTAAAAATTGTGAAAATAGTCTCCAATAAATACAATTGTTAGCTTTGTTTGAGTCACGTTTGCTAATTACTACAGTGCCCACCTGTTTTAGGAAGTTATTTAGCCCTTTTTTAAAATGAGAGTGTATATGCATGACTCTTTCTTCAAGTGGAATTGATCAATTGGGGCGACTGTGCCTCAGCGGTGGAGCGGATCGTCCTTCAATCAAAGGATTCGTTCGACCCCCGGCTCAGCTAGTCCATGTCGATGTTCATAAATGATGAACAGTCCGGTCGGGCAGATGGTAGCTCCTGACACCAGTGTATGAATGGGTGTGAATGGGTGAATGAACATGTAGTGTTAAAAGCCCTTTGAGTGGTCGGAAGACTAGAAAAGCGTTGTACAAGTACATTTACCAGTTGTGAAGTGAGACACCAACACATTGTTGGTTTTGGTCTTTTCTTTGGATTTGTTGACAATAACAGAAATATAGAATACCACAAGCCTTATGGTTTAATGGATTGTGCAGTCGTGGTGAGCTGTGTGTTCTCAAAGCGAAGTTTATTCACATTTTTCTCACATTTCTACAGTTTTGCTAACTGTAATATATTTTCACATGAGAAATGAACCTGGCAATGTTGAAACGGCTCCTAACGCTGCCAATGTGTCGTTTCAGGATCAAAGGAGCAGCTTGGCTTCCAGTCTGCCCGGTGCTGCCAGTTCTCATCACCAGAACATCCTCAGCCACCTCCCTCTTCACTCCCAGCAGCAGTCCCACAGTTTGCTCCCCGTCGTTCCTGTCGGAGGGTTCCAGATGTTACACTCCCCGCCTTCCTCCAGCACTGATGTCACCCTTTCCTCGGCGCCGAGCCCCCAGAGCAGCGAGGGCCAGCGTTGCAGCAGCAGGGAGGGATCTGTCCACGGGCCTGAGTCTGGAGGAGAGGACACCAGAGGCCAGAGCCAGCTGTCCACCCATCAGGCCTCTCAGGAGAAAAGCCTCGACCCTGGCATCAGGGACAGCGGACAGGAGGAGAACGTCCAGACCTGCTTGAAAGCCATCGCCTCGTTGAAGATCACCACAGAGGACCCTCACTGAAACCCCCTTTTTCTGTCTCCTTGATTTGACCCGGGAACAGACAACCCCTCCCCATGCAACACCTGCAACCTTGTCGTCCTCAGCCCTTTAGGCACTAACCTCATCTTTATCCAATTAGAGGCAATGTAATAACACTTCCTCGGGTCTTGCACACATTTCAGACAGCTCCTTTTAGATCTGAGTGGAGAGCAAACCTTCACAGTGAAGAAGAAACCCACTCTGTCTGATGTGCACTTCTCTTCAGAGACTCTTTGAAATGATTGGACGAGCAGCAGGATGTCTTGCGAGGTGGAGAATCATTATTGGGTGCAGGTGCAATATGGAAAGATATTATGCTAATATGCCTTTGTTTGACATAGTAGTTTGCGTACTATTGCACATAAATTATATTTATGGATTCTGTACAAATGTCCTTAACATATACTCCTTCTTAGATGCATACAAACAGTGTATTTTACTGTATGTGTACTTTGAAAATAGACTGTTGTTTAATGTTATCATATCAAGGTGTGACGCAGTAGTGCAGTAAATAAAGACTATTTATAAGGGGAAAAGTATGTGTATTATGAAACAGTCTGACCAAATTTTAAGTAGACGCTTCTTGTGCAGTTTGGTGCTTCTAATCAAGCGGCAAGGGTCTGTGCCTTTATTTTGCTTTTCAGCATTTTGTTACGAGAAGGTTGTTGCGGAATGAGGAAATATGCCGAGGTAGGCTTTATTCAGAAGTGTCAGCGCTGTCAAAGAGTTCGCTCAAAGAAAAGCTTTTTCTTTCTTGTTCCGTCAGTTATGCCGACAGACGGATGCAGCTTGATTTATGTGAAACAATCTTAAAAAAAATGTTTCTTATGTTGCATTTTTCTAAATGTTGTGGTTTTTATCTTGGTAAAAATGCATGGGATTTGCTATTGCACAAAAATAGAGGAAGTTAATATGTAATTATGAATACTGTAAGATGTATTTATATATTAGAACGTGAGCACTTATTGATACTGGTAAATATTTGACTACTATTTATATGGTATATCTGTACTTATGCAGCAGTGATGCAGTTATGCAGTGAGCCACGCTGGCATTGCTTTTGATCTCATGTATTTGCTTTGATTAAACAGCGTTTATTCTCTCTCTCTCTCTTATACAGATGACCATAAGCATTTTATGAGTTTTGACGATGCACTTTCATCCTTTCATCTTTGATGTTTAACTGACGTGGTCAGTGAAAATAAGGGAGTAAAACATGTTATGTTCTCTTGTGGTTTTTGAAACATTCCAGTCGTTTTTTCACATTTCTCATTTTGTGAAACATGTTGCACACTAATTCAAGGGGCTATGATGATCGATCAATAGTATGTTTTCTTGCATTTCAAGTGTAACTGGATGAATCAATATCACTTTACTGTAAGTAATACTAAAGTAATGATGTTAACAGCGTCAGTTGGTTGACTATTACTGTGCTTCGGCTCAAAATGTAAGTAATCATTCACCAAATGCATTACTTCTCCTCTGTACATATATGTGTATTTTTATGATTTAAACTATTTTTGCAGTGTTGAATTCTGAGAACTTTTTAATGTGGATTGTTTATATCTCTTTACGAGGTAACAAGTCTGCAGTTGACATAACGGAGGTTTAACGAGGGCGAAAATAGCACAGTGTTGATCGCTAACTCCGTGTGTCTCATCTTTTAAAAAAATAAATAAATAAAGTGTATTCACATCTTCAAGTGGTTATGTTACCAGTTTGAGAATGAATTTCAAAAATCAGAAAAACACTTTGTTCACTCATGTTTACATAAAAGAATTTTAAAAGGTGCACTGCTTTAATCTTGTGTTTCCCTTTTCTGAAGATGTACGTAGCTTTGATTTCATGTCATTTTTATTTGTCGTGACGGTGCAGAATGCTCATGAAATGTGAAGGGAAAGCGAAGCCTTCCATTTGCTTTGGCACACAGTATGTATTCAGATTGTGTTTGTGTTTTGTTTTTATTGTGTACTTATATTTAACTGAACTGCTTTGTGCCTCTCATGTCTATGAAATTCCCTGTAAAACACACAGAGGACAAATCACTTTACCTCTCAGCTAAGATCTTTTGAGGACAAAAACCTCAGTAGCCAACCCGTTGTTTAGCTATTTGCATCGAAACTGGTTAGTCAGGACGGAGTGCCTCTTTTATGCTATGGGGACTTTATTGTTTGGTGCTCTACTTTTTTCAGATTAAATTCAAAGTTGTTTGAAAAGAATATACTTCTAACCCAAGGATGTGTGTTGCCGCTTATTTCACCCTTTTTTTCTCTTTTGCTTTATTATTCAAAATGGCTTCCATGCCTTTCCTCCTGCATAACTCACGATTGTTTAAATTAGAGCACGCAGGGAATCGGATGAAATCATTCACATTTTACCTTCAGGCAGAGTGTGGACACACACACACACACACACACACACACACACACAAAAAAAAAATCTCTTCAGAGTGAAAAATTGGAGACTCCTACCAGTGACATCCTCTGGTGAAAAGTGATTACTGCAGTCACAACATGGAACAAGAGAAATAAATGAATGCTTCCAAAAATAGTTCTCACCTTGTGGATAATATTCAACCACTTTTAGGTTGCGGCCAATTCAGCAAAAAATGCTGACGGCACATTCAGTGTGCACTGCACTCGACTGCATGTGTGAACCATGTATGAAGTGAGGAAATGACTGTGATCCTCGTGGTGCATTATGCCAGCTCTTCTCTGGGTTTGGGAGGAGGTATGTTCTAATTCTGGCCAATCACATAGACAGATCTTTTTTTCTTTTCTTTTTTTTTTTCTATCCTGCTCAGTGACTATGCCTGTCAGGCCCATTTGTTAGAATAATTATATGGCTGTTAACAGCATTGCAGCTTAAAATAAAGTTAGTGCTGCGACGGCTTAAAGCAGCAGAGGCATCGCACAAAATGGCTGCTGAAGATCAGGGAAAAAAAAAACTTTCAATGATGAAGTATTTTGATTGTATTCATACACACGGCGACTGTGTTTCACTTCCTGCTTGCATTACAATCAGAGGACTATGGGTGTCCTGGACAGAGACATGCAGTGTCTCTGTTCTCCCTCTCTCTGCTCAGAGTGAGCTCTGCTCCTCTGGTTTATTTTGAGGTGGTCTTATCACAGCTGTTGTATCTGTGGTAGCAGCTTGTCCCGAGCCCCTCGACACTCTTCCTTTTCCCACTCTGGCCCTTGGTCCTGGTAAGACCCTGTTTGCTCGCTACCCTGCTTCTTCAGGGACATTTACACTTGAATTGCATTAAAAAAACAACTTAAATTCTGTGCTTGACGTGGTTTTCAAACCTCCTCTTACTCTTAAAAGGTACTAATAACTGTTTGTTTGAATTTGATGGCTTTCTGAAGCTTTGTGAAAATGAGAAGGAGAGGGACTCAATTGAGATTTGCCCGAGTCATTTGTTAGCAGAATGGCAACAATACTTAATATTTGTTTAGATTCTCTGATTGTTTACCACCACTATTTATGTTTCTTCGGACAGGGAAGATATCTCTATCTTTTCCTATTGTCATTTATTTCAAGTTCAATTTTTAAAGTTGTCTCCTTCAAAATATTGAAGACATACGAGGTCACTTATGTAATACAGATCATTTTCACAGTTGGAAATGCAGCTTTTGTACGCACAACCACTGACATTGACATCAATAAGAGTGGATTGGAAATAAATAAATAACTTGCCCATATTAAGAAGTTCCTAAAATAGCCTGTGGGGTCTGGAACAGGTGCCATGCGCTCTGCTTGTGAAGGCAGTGTGAAGGCTGCACTAATTTTATGCACGTAAACAGGCTCTGGCTGTGAGCCTGTAAGACAGGCACGATCGCTGCGGTACAATAATAAGCTTCGCTATCGCTTTAATTGACTGGGGTTGAATCAGTTCTTAGTCAAAAAAAGAAAACCTTTTCTTAAACTTGCCTGTCTTAGGAGAAAGAAAGCATTAGGTGCTGTCTTTAACAGCGACAGTTGTTTACAAAATGGCATCTAATATTCATCACTGAGCTCCTTCAGCACATAATATACAGCTGGTTTAATGTGCCTTGCTGAAAGGCACCATGGTGGTATCTGCTGAGGAACATGGCGATTAAAAAAATATTATATTAGGCATTTCATTATTAAAAAATATGAATAATCTGCTGATAACTTATACGACTAATCGTTTTGTCCAGTAGTGTCAGAAAATAATGAGAAAAATTCCTATTATACAATTCCACAGTCCGACATGATGTGTTCAAATTCCTTGCTTTGTGCGGCCAACAGTCAAAAAGCCAAAGATATTCAGTTAACTGGCATATATCACAGAAATACCTGTAAATCTTCACATTTGAGAAGCTGGAGCCAGCAAATATTTTGCTTTTGTGCTTGAAAAATGATTAAAGTGGAAATCAAAATTGCTGGTTAATTTTCTGTATTTCGATTAATCGACTTATCGCTGCAGCAAAAGGCTAATATCTAATATTCTTCACGGTTACAGTAGGAAAAGGTGCTTGGGTATATAATAAATAAATGACTCCATTTCAGGGTCCTGGTATTGTGCAAGCTGTCACTTACTGGGACACTTTAGGAGAACACAGCCAACGTTAATGTTATTAGTAACACACTTCCTGCTATGAGACGTCGAAATGTCTGCTGTGAAAAAGGCCGAAAGCTTTTGATTGATGAAAAGTGCAAATCTGTCTTTCAGTTAAACAGAAGTTCATTGAGTTTAGTATTATTCAAGACTAGCCTTCAAAGAGTAACTAGGACGCATTATAAAGATTGACGCCGGTTTGTCAGAATTCATGGAGCGAAACCAACTGTTTCCCTCTCAGTACAGCTCAGAATAATGGAGGCTTGTCCTGCACCCACGGGTCCCGAGGCGTCGCCAGCCGAGGGTCGGCACATTGACCTGACAGAGGACCTGGCCCAGCAGCTGGAGGACATCATTAGCACCTACCAGGCTGACGAGATTCCCGCTGAGCCAGAGGACACAGAGGAGGTCACAGCCGTCAAAGAGCCAAACTCCCGCAAGGACCAGAAACTGGAGAAGAAGATGCTCAAAAACCTAGGTGCTTCTTTTTTTATATCTCAAAATGTTTTATCGATTTCAGCTGAGGTGGGTTTCATTCAGCTCCGTCAGCAAAAGTCCAAGTTGCACTGAAAGCGATAGGTCTGTAAGATGAGCTGCAATGCTTGTAAGTGCATCCATCTGCAACAGACGAGCAGGTAAAATAGTATTTCCACATGCCTTTTATAATCGGCGACAGACTTCTCTTAATCATGTATACCAAAATAATTTCTCAAGACAGGGGTAGACGAAATGATTTAAGCTCAAACTTGACTCGTGACTGACTAGTGATTTTCAATTCTCTGTGGCTGTTCAGGAAAAGAAGCCATGCTGCTGATGCAAAGTTTGAACAAACTCAACACTCCAGAACAGAAACTGGAAGCCATCATCAAGAAGCACGCTGAGCTGGTGAGTGGATGAATATTGAAAATGAAATAGAAAGAGAGAACATAGAAGCGGTGTGCATCTTCACCCTTGTGGGCATGTGGTGGATTTGTCTGTGTATTTCTACAGTTGGAGGAGCACCGGAGTGACCAGAAGCAGCTTAAAGTTCTGCAGAGGAAGTTGCTCCAGGTGATGAAGGAGAAGGACCAGCTGCAGAGCGAGCACAGCCGGGCAGTGCTGGCTCGCAGTAAACTGGAGGGGCTCTGCCGAGAGCTGCAGAGGCACAACAAGACCTTAAAGGTACTTCAGCTCCTGTCGGTTCTGCTCCTCGTGCTCAGTAGTGGAAGTAATATTTAAGAATAACTAAAAAACGAATTTCTTAAAAGCGCGGTATCCAACCTGAACTACTAAAATTGCCATTTGTTGTTGGATGATTTTCAGTGCCGGCTGTTGTGACCATATGTTGTGCTCTACAGGAGGTGACATCAGCTGGCACCAAATATCAAATATTGTGTCATAGATCAGGATTTGACCTCTCAAACTGCCACAACTCATGTTGTGAAGCCAAGGAGCGTTCAAACCAGACAATTTAATGTCTTCGTCTACTGGAGATCCTCCCAATTTACAAAGATATTGTATGACATCTACAATATATTTACACTGCATGAAAGGGAGCAGACAGTTCCCTCCAAGCTGTACGCATGATGCAAATTTAATTGAGAACAAACGTACTGAAAATTCCGTTGCTCTATGTGTAACTAAAGGGAAATTGAATGTAATATTTAAGAGGTTAAAAGGAGGTTACCATCTTGATGTGGTAATTTATCATTTTTAGATGGGGAATTGTATAAAATCATAAAATCAGAGGACAAAAAATGACCCCTAGCTCTCTGTCACTGGGCTAATTGTATCATACACCAGGTTGTTTTGAGCTTAAACATCCGTCTCTGCAACGCAGGAAGAGACCCTGCAGAGGTGCAGGGAGGACGACCTGAAGCGGAAAGAGATCACCACCCATTTCCAGGGGACGCTGAGTGACATTCAGGTCCAAATCGAGGAACACAGCAGCCGCAACACCAAGCTGTGCCAGGAGAACAGCGGCCTGGCAGAGAAACTGAAGGGGCTCATTTCACAATACGACCACCGAGAGGCGGTATGGATCCTGACACATGCTGAGCACACATGGGTTCAAAACAGGTCTTCATGCAATTCTACCTGAACCGATCTAAAACCTCACACATCTTGGCCTCTGTGTCAGTTGCAAACATATGAAATATTTGCACATTTCACAGGTCTTATATTTATTAGTTACAGCATTTTGGTTTTATGTAGCCTCCCTGAGCAAGAAATGAAACAGCTTTCTCTAATAAATTGTCTTTCAGAACCTGGAAAAGGTCTTCAAACACAGAGACCTGAAAGAAAAGCTGCTGGACACCAAACTCACGCAGGCCAACATGATACTGAAGGACACAGAGGACAAGCACAAGCTGGAAAAAGAGCTTGTACGTATCAGATTTGTCGCTTGCTCCAAGTATTTCCTAAGAATATATCTGCATTTTTGATTCCCTGCTCATTTTCATCGATTTATTTTAATTTTCCACAGCTGCTAAAACAGGCGGCAGCATATAAAATGAAACTGAAGGTCATGAAGGAGCAAGAAAGCGATATGAGGATCCAGGTGAGGGCATCAGGAGCCAAATTGATAAAATTCCCGACCTCTGTAGAGACACGCATTAATGTTTTTTCTCACCATGTCGCCTCAGCTCGAGATGTACTCCAAGAAGTTTGATGAATTCCAGGGCACGGTATCAAAGAGTAACAGTGTCTACAGCGACTTCAAACAGGACATGGACAAAGTAAGAAGAATGGTTTTACAGAACATTTGAAGTCAGCGTCATGGTATTGGTTATGTTATTTAGTTTACCTGGGAATAAAAACATGAGAAAAACAGAAATGAGAAAAATAAATTCCCATGAGATTTACGCTGAAACTAAATCTGACAAACTGTATGATCCTACACTCTATTGTAGCAGCTATTTTTAGAAGTGGCTTTGATTGTGTTCTCTGTGTAACGTGATTTTTTTTTTTTTTGTGGTGTAGATGGCCAAGAAAATGAAAAAGCTGGATAAAGAGTGCCAGTCGTGGAAGAGTCGCTTTGATAGCTGCAACAAGAGTCTCGTTGACATGGTGGCAGATGTAAGAAACATTTCAGTCATTTATAGCCCAATACAATTCTTTGGTCGTTGGTATCTTTTTGCAAGAAAAGACAAAGTTCTCACCAGTTTTACAAATACTTTTCATGCATTTTAATCTTTTACAGAAAACAATCAAGGAAAAGGAGTCTGAGCTCATCACCAGCAAGAACCAAAAGCTTGAGAATCTGTGCAGGGCTTTGCAAGAGGAGAGGAAGAGTCTCTATGAGAAGGCGCAGGCAGCTGGAAGTCAACCACACAACAACAGTGCTGAACCAACAGAGAAGGAGGGCCCAGAGGAGCTGGAGACCCCTAAAGTCCCTAAAGACGAAGACCCCGTCCAGAAAACTGCAGCTCCTGCCTCTGCTGCCCCCGCCGGGACACCAACACCCAAAACTCCAATGACCAAGGAACTGGCTGAACTGAAGGCTGAGCAGAGCCGCCTGAAGGAGATTGCCGGCTCTTTTACAATCTCTCACGTTATACCCACAGAAACAGTCGTTAGCCAATCACAAGGACTGTCTGAGGGCGTCCAGGAGCCAGAAGAGAACCACATAGAGGCGATCAACGGCGAACACCTCCAGGAGGTCGAGGAGGACGGATGCCAAGAAGAGAGAGATTTGGAAATGGAGTCAGTTGATTAATGCTGCAACTAACGCGGTAAAGAAATCTGGCTCGTGTGAGATTCATAGCAATAAAAAGAAAAATGACAATGCTGGCTTTGTCTTCAGTGTTTGATCCCGATATCTCAAGATTTAAGAGAAGTCCAACTGTTTTATTCCTTTTCTAACTCACAGATCAAAAGTTTTGACTCACTTCCACTGCTTAGATTGTCATGATTGATCATCAACACAAAAGATTAACAACTGTATAAGAAAATATCTGGTGCAAGACTGTGCACTTAAAGACACAATGTAATAAGTTAACTACGACTCCCAAGGTGAATTTCAGCAAGAGACATCCCATCAGAGCTTAGAATCGGTTCAATTTTAAAATAGACACAAGGCCATGTTTTGTGGTAACAATTACAACACGGAAGCATTTTGAAATTTGTGCATCTGCATTTGCAACTTCTTCTCTATAGAAACAGACTTCCAGCAGCTCAGCTCCACTTTTATGTTATTCTGGTTCAGGGATTTTACCCAAAACATATGCAAAAAAGACCACTGCACTTTCACAATTTATTTCACCACTGTGCACTGATAAGAAGCTGCATATCTTGTGAAATATTACAAACCAAACAAAGACAGTAAATGGCTGAAAGAGCAGACCGTGCTGCAACGAAAGCTCTCACAGCTTTCGTTGAAAAAGGAAACGCTCTGCTGTACCTCGCCGAGAAGGAGAGCAGAGAAGGTAGGCAGCATTTCGTGGCGACGGAGAAGTGCACATAAGTACATGCAGAGAGCGTGCTCTGCAGTTGGCTCATGATTTATGGTTGTACCATGAGTGGGAGTAAGCAGGAGGCCTGTCAATCATCAGACGTAAAGAATGAACCTAAAGACTGTCAGACATTAACTTCACTTACTTTATCTCATGCAGGCTCTCTCCACGTATTCATCAGGCAGAAAATCCGCATAGAGCAAAAAGCAGTCTCTGCTGGGTCTGATTGAAGCTGGTGCAGCTTTGTACAGAAGGTTATGAGCCGTATGAGCAGTCTATAAATATAATTTCTGTTAAAATACAAAGTAAACAGAGCTTCATAGCAGCACAGATTCAGTTTGGCATTTTTGGACATGCAGATATGAGTTGTTTACTTCTATTTTTTTTCTAATTTCAGAGTTTGTCTGTTAAGAAGAAAAAGGATGCAGAAGACATCTGGAGAAAGAAATACCAGTAAGAGCTAAAGCTGAAATAATGAGTTGATCAACAGGAAAGTATTCTGCAATTTATAGTTTTTCAAATGTAAGCTTCACCCTGACGTAGTGAAAATCTGCTGAGAGTATTCCTGATTGTGCAACAATAAACCTCCCTGTGCGTTCATTCATCAAAAAAAACTCAGTCTCTATGAACTGAAACAATAGTAAAAAACTTGTATTACGACTTCTCCAGCTGTGCTGCTTTACAGAACACTTTGCAGGACTTTCAGCAGCTGGAAGTGAGTAACTGACATTATAAACATTTTCAAAAATATTCTCATTTACTTTTTACTGACTGAGGCCGATGTAACACAGGTGCAGTGGGATGCCTTCATGGAGCGTTTGGATGATGAATTACAACCGAGTGCTAAAATACTGGACCATCAGTCAAAATGTATTTCCCCAGATACATCTCTCATCGATGCCAGAACAAGAGAGCAGGTTTGATTCATTGATAGAAATGAAACTAAACACTGCAAGTTCAAAATGACTTTATCTGACAAATATACTTTGTGTTTATGTGGCCTATTTTGCACTTAAGTATTTTAGTGTTTCGATGTGTTTTGCAGAACAGTAATATTAGAGAAATATCTTGGGAAAGGTAAAAAAGATCCTGCTGGTGTTAATCCGTCAGTTCTCCTGTCTACTCTGCCGTCTCCACCTTGAAGATCTAAAGAAGAATCAGGTAAACAGTTCATGTTTACCACAATACTTTTGTTCTTCACCTGTTCAGAGAGATACTACAATAGCCAGCTGCAAAATTCAGTACCACTAGAACGATACATAATACAAGATCGGGAGCATTTCGATTGCCTCTCAACGACTCTCAACATGACAACGCCTGAGCCAGCGGCTCGTAGCTGACTGTGCTAAGAGTGCTAACAGTACAAACTACAGCAAAAACGTGCTGACAGAGCTAGCGGTGTTTACCTGAGGGGGAACCAAAGAGTGGGCGCTAAGCTTCCACAGCGACGCTGACGATGATGTGCACATGCTTTACATGTAGCTGACATCATGTTATTACTGTTTTCCATTTGATTTGTTTTCTGTTTTCTTTCTCAATGAAAAATGAAAGTTCAAAAGATATGACTATTTAAATCTCATTTCATCCTTCATCTCAGTTTTTAAATGCAATCTGACTTTGAATATTTGTCATTATTTGTCAGAGTTCCCTGGATGCACACTCAATTGAAGTGGTGGTGGTTTCTTTTGGCTGTCAGGAGGGAGCTTCACACTGGCTGCAGGAGACTGGCTGTCAGTACGACATGCTGTTGGACCCTGAGAGGAAGGTCAGAGGTCAACGCCAGGCGACGATAATACAAAATACACAGTTTATACTTTTCCTGATAACGGTACACTCTGTTGGGCGCTGCAGATGTACGCTGCATTTGGCCTGAGAGCATCCATGAAGAAAGCATTGAACTTCAGTGACATGCTGCTCTGTGCTGAATACGTGGTGGACAACATGGAGTTTCCAAAAGGGCTTCCATCGATTCAAGATGACATGTTTCAGGTAAATAATGCTCGCAGCTTCAAGTACATGAAAAGACATTTGAGGCGGCATGTGCCTAAAGTCTATTCTGCAGTGAAACTTCTCATTGAACCAATAAAAATACAATAATAATAATAATAATAATAGGTAGTGCATGTGCAAATATGTGTGTAAACTATGTAAATGTGAAGATTAAAACAACATTTGAGCTCAGATAATATATCTTTCTGATAAAATGCCCATTCACAATAAAAATTAATAATAATTAACATTTAAGTTTCAACATTTCCTCAGAAAGTTTTTAAAGGTTTATGTATCGTTCTTTGTTGATTTTGTTTCCGATGTATGTTTTAGGTGGGAGGCGACTTTGTTTTGGACGAACATGGGAGGGTGCTGTTCTCTCACTGCTGTCAGAGTCCCATAGACAGACCTTCAGTGGAGGACCTTTTATCTGCGCAGTGACGATAAAACACCTTCATGCACCACACAGGTTTATTAAAGGAGAGCAAAAACAGGTGATGTAATTGCTACACACCAAGCTGTAAACCAGTGGTGGGCCGTCAGGGCCTGCAAGGCCTTCTCTGCTGGCCTAAACAGAATCACAAAGTTATATCTATTTTATAATTTAATAATCTTCTACCTGCTAGTCGACAGAGTCAGTCGACGCTACCTCATGTCCATCGCCAACTTAACCGGGGGCATCGCCTGCCTCGTAATCCCCTTCATCTCCACGGGTAGGTAAAGCTGAAGGTGCAGGTGGCATCAGGTGAAAGAAATGTAAATGGATTGTGATCATTTCTGATCAATCATAGGTAAAATAAAAAAAAGGTTATTGGTTGGTAAAGTGACCATTCTTATACTTGGATTTTGTCATCCCTACAGATTTATCTTGGTTGAAAAAGTCGGTTGCGATCTTTGGGAGGCTTGCTGTTGCCATTGGATTTGAGACCTTGAACTTTGCAAACACAGAGATGTATCCGACATCTCTGAGGTGCGAATCCAATGAGAGTTGGAAGATATTTATTTGTGTTTCACAGGCTGTGAAAAGATGTTGAACAATGTGCACATCAGACTGCCAAAGAAAAATATGGAGCGGCAGATGTCTGGAAAGATGCAGACAATATCTGCCTGCTAAAAGGAGAAGAAATTCTGAACTTGATTGTGATTTGATTTGAGTTTCAATTTCTCACAGAAATCTGGGTGTGTCCGTGTGCTCATCAGCCAGCGACTTCGGAGCAATTGTGGCCCCATTTGTGCTCTATAGACTGGCCAGTATCTGGCAGGATCTGCCTCTTTTACTTTACGGTAAATTTCAGTCTTCCTATACCTGCCTCCATGTTCTTCCAACACTCTTAGCTCTCTAAAACGATACATAGGGAAAATTCAAACTTACCGAGAGATATCCTTTTCAGTTCCAGATCAAAAAGTGCCTTACCTTTGTTTCAGGTGTGATGTCGGTGCTGTACAGCGGATTGGTGACATTGTTGCCAGAGATGAACGGAGTCGCCCTGCCAGAGACCATAGAGGATGTGCAGAATCTAAGAAGGTAAATAGATCATTTCAAAATCAGGTTATTAGTGCAAATACAACAAGAAGACAACAAATATAACACCTTATTTCTCAAAAATGTTTGAGTATGACAGAAAAGAGGTAAATAAATCAAGCAGAAAAGTGTTATGACACAACAGGAAGGAGTCAAGAGGGGGGAAGGAAAGGGGAAAATCTCTGAATCTGACAAGAATATGCTTGTAAATAGATTTACGATTAGACAGGTGCACTAGACAGGTTCATGCCTAATCTCTAATGTGTTTTTCGTTTTCTGACAGAGGGAAAGACAAGTCCAAGGATGCAGAGGCTTTCATTATATGACCTGGAACATTGCTGTATTATTGTTTTGTACATATTTTCTAATAATACAAATCCTGTGAAAAGAATAAAACCGACAACGAACCGATCCTACTAACAAGTAGGATGTCCTGAACCGGTCCCAAGGACCAGTATCATTAGCAGGAAAGTCCAAAAGTATTGAGAAAGATTTTTTTAGGTGAACCTTGTCTGACATCAACTGCTACAACACACCGTGCACATGTTTCCAAAACTTAAATGACATGCACATATCAACTCAGAGCAACCCTGCACACTTCACAAGGATGTTCACTGCAGTACGTAGCGCTACAGCAGCATGCTAAATTTAAATTATTCATCCTCCAGAATCCCACATCAATCAATTTAATGCAGATTCAGATGCTGTTTTTAAAATGTCTAAACTGTCTTTCTTCTGTAAGCTTTCTCGACTGTTTTTCTTTTATAAAATGTTTTTCTTTTATAACTAAATGTGGAAGATTATGTAACTTTGACACAGCACTCCCTGAGTTCTTTCAACTTCATAATGCAAATAAAAAGAATAATGTGGATGGGCTGTAGCCTTGAAAGGCGTCTTTGCATATTCCAACATCCAGACAACAATAGCCTTGATTGTTAAGATCTTTAAATGGTATACTGTATATCTAGGGTTGGTTTTGTTCAGGCTTTTGTTCCATTGTATGTTCACCCAGAAAGCATCACAGCAACCAACAAAAGCTGCCCTACATTCATAGGACTGACTGAATGGGAAGACATGTAGCCATAAATTGTGTTGAAAATCACTGGTATGCATGAGAAGTTGGATTACCTCAAGCGTAAATATCTGCGTTGCTGCGAAAAAGGAGGATGGAAATCTCTCATGGTCTCTCATGGTGACACTGTCAGCATGGTTAAAATATACTATCATAGTTATAAATACATGCAAAAAGTTGTGCAAAAATCAGTTGAGAAATCAAAACATGCACTTTTTGCTCATGGAAATGATATGATGAAGATTAAAAAGAAAATGACAGATTACATTTAGTTGTGGACTATAGAGATGGGAATCATTTGGGACGGATTATGATTAGGAAAACTGTTTGCCTCACATAACGGAGATCCACTGACCCGTTAAATGAGGCAAGAGGGGGGGGGGGGCTTGGAGAGGGGATGTGGATGTGGGGATGAAGCAGGCAATTATGTGTGAGACCTCACTGCGCAGTACAATGAGTTTATAACTAATGGGGAATAAATTGAAGAAGGGGTGGGGTCCTAATACCTAAGACAGATACAAACTTCCTGTCACAGGATCTTCCTCTCTGTCTTTTTCTGGAGAAACTCTACAGCAGCCAGTCGGGTAGAAACTTTAAGGTTAATTGGTTCAAAATGCCGGAGGAGGCCGAACGGGAGAAATTAGCCGAAGTCATCAGACATTGGAACAACAACAGACTGGACTTGTTTGAAATAAGTCGACCTGATGAGGTGAGTGGCCTGCAGACATCAGGCAGGGTTCATACGCCACATAAATTCTCTGTTTACCTTTGTATTAACCTTAATCTCTGTAAAAATGTCAATGCCACAGATTTAGATATAGTTTGAAGGCCTTTCACATACCGGGGTCTTGATGAATTAACAACACGAAAATATGAAATACTCGCCTGTGAATATTTTGCATCAAAACTATTCATACCGGCCGCAGTGTCTGAGGCAAATTGTTGTATAGCCTAAACCACTGTTAGCTATTTTAGTAACTCGATTTAGAAACTTAAAAAGCCCTGAGTGAATTTCCGTGTGGGGAAATAGTTATGCTGTGTATATGTCTAGGGCTTTTATTGTGAAAGGTAAGAAGTTGATCTGGTATGCTTTAACAAAGTTGAGAGGAGTAAAGTTTGCTATCTTGGAGCGGAGCACAGAGCCTCCTTGTTGTTGTTGTACACTATAGTGTATGATTTGAATAAGTCCTCCGCTCTTCTGCACAACATGAAGGGTCAATTACAGGGCGACATTATGTTCCCCCCCTACCTCCACCACTATCCTGACATGTAAATACAAAAATCTACTGATGCAGCCATTAGTCGATAATGAAACGATAAGGAAAATATTGGTTAGTGGTTAGTTGCTGCCCTACAGAAATCAACTGACGGCCGTGTGGACAGCATTTAAGGTTGTGTAACAGAGTAGTAACAGAAATACTACTACTTCGAATACTAGGAAGCTATTAGTTAACGGTGTTGACTGAATTGTGTTTGGTGCAACTTACATATTCCTGACCACTTTGATGTGCATTCCTGTTTTTAGGTCTTTTAGGGATTTCTTGAAAGCTTAATTAATAAATTCCTGAATCCAAAGCAGTATTTTATAAAAAGGGACGATTGGACTTTTCATTGTAAAAGCCTATTCAGAAACACACTTGATGAGAGGGAGAAATGAAAGGAGCAGAAAACACACTGGGCTCAGTCAAAAACTAAACCTGTTTTCTGGCAGAACTTGGAGTTTCATGCAGTGATGCGCTTCTACTTTGAGGATGGTGCTGGAGGAAATGTGGCCACTAAGTGCCTACGTGTCTGCAGCAACTCTTCAACTCAAGAGGCTGTCGAAACTCTGTCAGAGAAGTTCAGGCCTGACATGAAAATGCTGACTACTACTTATTCCCTGTATGAGATCCATGCCAATAAAGGTAATCACTCGACTCATACTGTATATCGTTGAAAGGGACAACACACTTAATGAATCAATCAACCAATCAGAAAATAAATCAGCAACAACTTTGATAGCAAATTCAATATTTGGGGGCTTTTGAACTACAACAAAAGCATTCTTAAGATGACTTGATATAGAAAAGACTTGTCAGTCACATATTTAATTTGGTGTTGGAAGTCCAGTTGATTTAAGAATATGCTTTTTGTTTTGTATGTTGAATAAGAACGTAAACTGGATCTGGACGAGAGACCTTTGGTTGTACAGTTAAACTGGAACACAGACAACAGAGAAGGACGTTTTGTGCTGAAGAGAGACAAGGAGAGTTCGGAGGTACCACTCAAACCATTAACTCAAGCCTGCAGTTTCCCTCTCTCTTCACATAATCTCACATCTACGTATGTTATTATATATTTAATGTGTGTTGAACTACAAAGGAACACTGTCACGAGAAGGAAAAGGGAGGCGTGATCCAAAGCTTCAAGAGGACACTGTCAAGAAAAGAGAAGAAGAAAGAGACTAAAGCAACTGACAAGATGTCAGATGATGAGAATGGGTAAAATGTTCACTGTTCACAATCACTTCATTATTTTCCAGACTGTTTGCTTGAGGCCGGCCTGACGGTCAAAATAAAATCTACTCTTTTCAAATAAATATCAAGGTCAACTGAAAAGCTACTGAACAGCAGCAGCACTCGTGTGTCTGACCATGAGGAGAAAAAGAGCTGCACAGAAAACAAAAAGCAACAGAGGCAAACCGCCGCGGGTAAGCAATCTGCAAAATATAGAAAAATAGAAATGATGACCAGTGCAGTCCCATGAATAAGACCATGTACTTCCCATTCAGTCAGTATATTTAACTTCCAATCAATATGAACTGTATATTATATGATACAAACAGGGTGGCTGATGACTTCTGTTTGCTAAAACACAGGAGGAAAGCACACAGAAAATCTTTATCCGGATTTGTCCGATCAACCTGGATTACCAATTGGAATTAAATTCTGTGATATCTGTGAGTATGAAACAAGAAAACGCTTTTCTTCCAGCGTTGTGTTGATACTTGTCATCATGTCCTCCTGCCCCCTGCTGGCGTCTTTTACATTTCAGCTGAGGAAGCCTTCCTATCTGCAGTCATGAATTACACCAACAGCTCCACAGTTCATTTCAAGCTCTCACCTGCATACATCCTCTATGCTGTGGGACGCTATGCGCTGCAACGCCATCACAGGCGAGGCACGTCCCTCTGTGGTCACAGTGTTACTTCGACTGCCAGCAAAATGGTGGCCATGACATCGAAGGTCATCCAGGCAAGCACAGGAAACCTCTTACAATTGCACACATTAAATAAAATATATAATCTATAAAGCAAACATTCTGCTCTGTGAGTTTACATGACACTGCTGCTATATTTGCCCTGCAGAGGCAGCAGGCCATCGCCAGTGCTCTCGCCTTCTGGATGGCCAACTCCTCCGAGTTGCTGAACTTCCTCAAGCGCGACAAAGACCTCAGCTCGCTAACGCGGCAAAGTCAGCTGGATCTGTCCCACCTGGTGCACAAAGCTTACAGGTACAGACGACAAGACCTGCCCATAGAGATTCAGAGATTGTGAATCCAAGCAGAGCCATCGCACGATAAACACGTCATCAAAAGTGCAGCTAAAAATCACATGTTTAGCCTGCTGACCAGGCTACCTACCCAGTCAAGTCTTTGACCTCTTAGAAACACTACAAATCTTTAGCCACCAAAACAAACCCCTTTAAAATAGGTTCTTATCCACTGCAATAGCAACCCTGAGCTCCCAAATCCCAACCATACAGACACAGGAACTACTTCAACACGGTGTTACGTCCACATGCATTTCTTCTTCCTATGTCTGTAAATATTGTCTGTGGACATTTTATTATCCGATAATTCATATATACCAGATATGTGTGTATAAGATATGCAACAACAGAACAGAGCTTGCAGTACATAAACGCCAAACTATTAACAAATACAATTAATAGAAATATGCAGCTTTTTGGCTAAAGGCATCTGGCCGTAAATCTACAGTTTAAAGTTTTTGTTTGTGTTTGTGTTTTATTCCCATAAGTTGCCTGCTACAGTGTCTTCAGAATGACTTAAGGAAGCACTTGCCAACTTTTTTGATTGATCCTGAGCAACATGGCGCACTGCCAGCTGGTATAGGTAAACGTTTCTTTATTTGTACAGTAATAATTATCTGACTGAGTCCACCACTTAATCTAAGACTCTTGGAAGAGCCGATGTTGCCTCCCTGTTCACACACTGTAAACGTTTTGTCTTGCCTGTTGCAGAGATGGTGCTGAACACCTTGATGAACACCATGTCTCTTCTGCGCCGCTGTCGGGTCAACCCTGCCCTCACCATTCAGCTCTTCTCCCAACTCTTCCATTTCATCAGTGTCTGGCTCTTCAACCAGCTCATGACCCCAGAGGCCAACACTCCAGGCCTGCGCTCCCACTACTGGGGAGCCGCTCTCCGCCAGAGGCTCGTGGCCATCGAAGCCTGGGCGGAGAGGCAGGGCCTGGAGCTGGCTGCTGACTGCCACCTCGGACACATCATCCAGGTTAGTCCCTCCCTGCACTACGTGTCCAAATAAAAAACAAAAAAGCTAAGAATGGGCTTTTATGAAATATGGAACTAGTGTCTTCTACCACCAATTTGCTGGAAGTTTCTACCTCAAAACTGAATCAAATTACCTTTTTTACTATATGTATATTGTGAGCTTCTTTGTAAGATAATATATTTCTGATCTTGTTTATGATTTGCAGTTTTTATCTCGGCTTTTATTTACGTATCAGTGCACATATTTCAGTCAGCACAAGCTGTTAAAATAGCATTGCCTGGCTGTTTCTAGGCAACCATGCTCCTGACCATGAACAAGTACTCGATGCAAGACGCGAAGGCCGTCCACAATACCTGTTTCAAGATGAACTCACTGCAGCTGCAGACGTTGCTAACCGGCTACCTCTATGCAACCAGTGAACCTCGCATTCCAGCTGTGAGTGCTTTTCATCTGTTCTTCCACTCCTCCGCTGTGCTTGAAACTACGACTGTGGCGCTGCTTTTTGGGGTAAAATCCTGTCTGACAAATAGCCTGTCGAAATGTAAGTACTACTATTAATCAGAGCATATAGGATTAAGGTTTGCATTGAAGCAGCAACAGCCTCAACCACAGAACAGGAGCTCGGCAGTATGGATTTAATAATATGAATAATTGACAATGATGAATAGGATCATGAATAATAGATGACTAATAGTAAAGTGAGTTGTCACATAAACCCTTTGCCTTTGAGTGAAATATTATATTTTGCATGATATGAGGTGTGTGTGACGACCTACTCTGTGTGACAAAATACATGTTGAGTTTCCCATTAAGCCAATATTACAGGGAAATCATTTTGTGAATGCGCTGTGTGCAAAACCACAGCCATACAATACTGCCCTCTAGTAGAGCCTGGGTTTACCATCCGAAACTACAACAACAATGCATTTGTATTTTGAGTTGTACAAAACAAGCAAGGAGATATAGCCAATCAATTTCCAGCTACCAGAAAAGAGTTGCAACTTGGGAAATACACAAATAAATACAATCCAAAATTAAAACTATTTGTATGCACTTAACAACTACCTTAATTGGACGAGACTCTAGGAATCTGAGTAATACCTTCAGAACAGTGTTAATCCTGCTCATGCTAAAGATAATTAAGCTAATGTTGTAACATGGATAAAAAGACTCTTTTGGTTTGTGTCAAACAACCAAACAAAAATAAGCTCAGCCAAGACAAGAAATTGATTCACATGTGATACCAACGCAAATACTAGGTGCAAATAGTGACTTTAGCATAAAAGCATAAAGCAGCCAGCAAGGTGGGTGCAACAGAAACTACATTATCAACCAAAAGACGAACTAACAAGTTGCACATACTTAGATTTGTGAAGTAAAACGGGAGTCACGTGTTGTCGACATCAGGACAGGAAACTCCAGACTCCTCTTTTGTGGTGGGCGGGGCTAGGTCGACGTAAATAAAGATAAACTAGCTGCGAGTTTAGGCTCCTAGCAAGTCTCTAGAAATACTCATTTTACACACATTTTATTTTAAGTATCAAAAAAATAATAGTATCAAAAGCAAAAGTACTTAATATGCAGAAGAATGTCAGTATTATTATTCTATATTATTGGATATAAGCAGATTCATTGCTATGTAAATAGGACTTTAATAAGATTTAGTGGTGGAGCTTTTGGCTACATTATACTGTTGATTATTCTCAGCAGTAACAAAGCTTTATATTCTATCAAATGATTATAAGTTTTGTATGTTAAATCTTAACATTAATAGCTGAGTAAAGTGAATTAATGAAAAGTAATTATACTGAAGTAGGAGTGTAAAGTATCACAAGTGAAACTAGGCAAGCACAGTAAAAGTACCTCAAAGCTTTACTAGTACAGTCCTTGAGAGAAAGTCTTTGTACTTTTCACCAGACTCTGACTGCACTACACAACATTAATACTGAAACTTTCTCTTCAACTGGTACCCTACCACTGCAATATTAGGGACAATATCACTGCAAGATTACATTAATGTTGTACTTTTCTACCTCCAGGGAGGTCAGCATCATCTGCAGGAAGGTCTTCAGTATTCTGCTCAGGGTCACAGCAGGCAGATTGGATGTTGCTTCCCTGAAGCCTTGTCACAGAATGACAAATGCCAATCTATACACTAGAACGACCTTTTCCTGAAATATTTCCGCTGTCTGAGCCACTTGTCATCCTCGCTGCAGGATTTGATCGATGCCGTAGTGACGGCTGCGAAGGCCTCAGCAGATAACCTGATTCGGAGCGAAGGACGGGACGTCCAGCTGGAAGAGAGCCTCAGCCTACATCTGCCTTTCCTGCTGCCGGAGGGAGGATACTCCTGTGACACTGTGAGAGGAATCCCGCTGGGGTTTAGGGAATTCTTGGAGCCAATTTGCCGTAAAGGTTTGGAATTCTGAATAGTCTGTCATATTTGCAAAATGTTGAAAATATTGTAGAATACCAGGAATGTCGTGTATCTAAGATAAACACGCTTAAAATAGCTTCTTTCTCTTCCAGGACTCTGCTCTCTGACATCCCAGCCAAACTCTAAAGGTGACTGGACCGTGTACTTCAGTGAACCAACTTCCTCTGCAGAGAGCACATGTTTGGTAAGAAAATCGTAGAATTTAATTTGAACATAAAATCAAGCATTTATGGAAGATAAATGTAATTTATTTGTATTTTCCTCAATAGGCAGCACACAGAGAGCCAGACATTGTGACTATCACACTGAACAAACCTCTGAACAGTGGGATGGGGGTCAGCATTGTGGCTGCAAAGGTGAGTGCCTCGATTCTGCAAAAAATAAAATTAACAAAACAAACACCAAAACTATCTTCTATCACCAAAACCCTCTTATTATGTCACAGGGAGCAGGGCAAGAAAACCTTGGGATTTATATCAAATCCATTGTCAAGGGAGGACCAGCCGAGATGGTGAGATCTAACGTATTTTGTTCATCATACTACCTTGAGATGTGCAGTGTGCAGAATCATTTAATGGAATCATACAAGGATTGATTGAACTGAATCAAAACAAAACAAACAAAATCTCTACTTTGTGCAGAATGGCAGGTTAACAGCTGGGGACCAGCTGCTGAGTGTGGATGGTCAAAGCGTGGTCGGCCTCAGCCAAGAAAGGTCAGCTACATTAAAGTTTCGCCATGTGATCAGCATGACTCCGTAGTGTTGTTGTTCTGTTAGTCTGGCGTTCCACCACTTTGGTCCAGACAGAAATATCTCAACAACTATTTAATGGATTGCCATGACATTTTGTGACACACATTCATTTTCCCCAGAGGATGATTCGTAATAACTTTCACAACTTTTCCTCTAGTGGTTCTGTGTGAAAAGTCTCACCAACGTTTCGATGGATTGCCATGAAATTTGTCACAGACATTCATGCTCTCCTCAGGATGAATTGTAATAATGTTGGTGAGGACTTTTCATCTGGCGCCATCATCAGGTCAAAATTTTAACGCGTGCAATACTTTGCTTTATGAGCAAATATATGCAAAAGTAACATGCCCAACGACCTCAGCTGTACCGTGTTTAATGCACATGTTTAGCATGTGTTAGCATGTTAAACTAAGATGGTAAACATGCTAAATACACCCGCACAGAGCGGCTAGCATGGCTGCTGTAGACTCTTCTTGTTTTTCTCATGAAATAAAAGTGATAAAATACACAACTGTGTATTTGGTTGGACAAAATACTGATGTCCAAATATTGAACAAATACCAAGTATTTTTTCCCCATGGAGCAGTTTTCAAATAGCCAAGTGATAGAGGCGTAATCCTTTCTTTCAAAACTCAATCAACATGAAAGAGTTATGTGTTTTACTCTCAGATCAAGACCCAGATAATCTAATAAAAAGTATGAAAGGGTATACAGTCTTATATAATATATATATATATATATATATAATACAACATAATTCTTATATTGATTTAGGGCAGCAGCGATCATGATGCAAACCGGCCCCGTTGTGACCTTACAGGTTGCAAAGTTTGGAGCGAGCTACCACGGCCTGGGAGCTCTGCTGACTGAACCGGCATCAGAGAGGACAACAGGTGAAAACACCATAAAACTTCAACCATCGTTGGTGGTTGTTTTTTTCACTTCTGCTCTCCATGATTTGATTAAGGCCCTCTCTTGCTTCCCAAGGCGTTACGAGCCACAACAAGCCAAACGGTAAAGCGCTCATGCTGTACAGAGTTGTGGATCCTGGTCCGTCAGAACGGCTCCATGGAGGCAGCAAAAGGTCGAAACACCAGATAATGCAGAGAAACAGACAACTGTATCGCTCCAACCCCAACATGAACAGTGGGTGCACTTCTATTATCATCACGTATCACTGCTGGGCTCATAAAGTAAATACCTTGATATGAAATATGCTTAATGCTTGAGGGTGAGTCATAAGAACAACTCCAGCATATTTATTTTCTCCTTATTTCAGCGTGTTTTCCCCCCGAGGATGGAGATGAACCTGTCGACGCTGTTGTGACAGCGAACAACATGGCTGCTGTCTCCAGTGTCAACCTCTGTGCTGATGTGAGATTATCCTAAATTTCCCCGTTTAATTCATTGTAACGTTTGTTAAACATTCAGTCACTATAAAAAAGAATTGGGGAAATATTCAAACAAGAAATCATTGTTTTAACTGAAGTTGTGTGACAAAATGACCTTTTTTATGTCCGTATTCAGACAGTTCACAGGGAATACTTGACACTTCCGACCCCTAAATCCCAGGACAAGAACGTGTCTGAAGCCAGTCGACCACAGCACACATTGAAAGTGTCTATGAGGCCTTTAGATGGACAGTACTCCAGTAAGAGGACCTTCATGGTAAGTCTTCACTAAAGAGCCTAAAAAACATATGATAAGATTAGGAAATACAATACATTGTTAAAGATTAATACAGTGCTTCCCAACATGTTTGTCTTGTGACCTTTTATAAAAAGCAGTGCCCCTTCTTCCCTTCTAGCAGTTTTACCGAATAGACAATTTTCAGTATGTTTTTATTTTAATAATATACTAAATTGTGTTGCAGAACTTTGTTTTATCTTCTTTCCTGCCCCATTAATCATCTGACGACCCCTCAGATTTATCTTGTGACCCTTTGGAGGGGCCTGACCCCTTGGCTTTGAAACACAGGATTAAACTACCTTTACTAACTGTAATAGTATTACTTTTACTTTTTATACAGTCCTTTGTAGTACCGTTTGGTATTATGTGCTTTAACAAAGTACTTTTAGGGTTTTAGATAATAGATGTGGGAGCTTATTCCACTGCTGATTGTTCATAAAATAACAAAAAACACACAATACAAGACAGTAAATGGTACAAAATTCTCTATATTTATCCTTCTAGCGCCAAGCTCTGTCCCAGGAGGACTTGTGTGTGGACAGCGGAGGCCCCCTGCTGGACAAAAGGCAGAACTTGTGGGAGCAGAAGGAGCAGCGTGCAAAGCAAACCATGAGCCACTACTCATCTTTCCCAATTCGCTCAAGTGTTTCTAGTCACGACATCCTCTCAGATTATTGTTCTCCTACAAAACAGCAGCAGGGCAGCCGCACAAGTGGCTCTGGGGTCTGGAGAACTCCTTTCTCGCAACATCCAACACCAACGCCTTCCAACCAGCCCATACGCATCGACATCCCTGTAACCAGAGCGGTGAACTCACACACATGTCCTCTCACCACCTTCCAGAGTTCATCTTTGCTGGCGGCGAGGATGAGCCAAACCCTGAAAGTACATGGATATAAAAACAGAGCGGATCATATTTACGCATGTCCCATTGCTGCAATCAAGAAGCTGCCTCATCCCTCGCTCTCCTTACAGCAGCAGAGGTCCACCACTCACATGGGTCAGGCTGCAAAACCCCAGGTGAGCATCACTCCGACAAAACATGTCTCCTTCCAAGAACCCCCCACTCAGCAGAAGCAGAGCTCGGGTCCTACGAAGCCGAAAGAACCCCAGGAGCGGTCCGACCCGTGGAGGAGGGAGGCCCAGGAGACGCTGGAGAAGCAGCAGAGGCTCCGTGCGGTGGAGCTCCTGGAGCGGGAGGTGCAGGAGCTCCAGGGCAAAGCGAGGTGCACGGTGGAGGAGAGCGACCGGCTCCGAAGGCTCAGCCTGGAGTGTCAGTTTCAGAAGAGGCTGCAGGAGGTTCAGCAGAGAGGAGAGGATGAGGAGGATGAGGAGGAAGATGAGGATTTGGACATGATGGTGACAATACAGCAGCTGGAGAACAGAGCACAGGTGAAGACCCACGCAGATGTAAGTTAAAGGAAAGATATTCACTAAATTCTTCAAGATCCTAATGAAATTATGTTACCAAAAGGCATTCTGGGAAATGAAGGAAATCCCTAATTACAGTAGATTGAAGGAAAGTGAGTACAACAAACATGGTACATGATCACATATAAATGATATATAACAGATAAAAAGTACAAATACTAATAATTATGATTATGGGACATTATGACCTCATCTACAAACACTCTTTGGGCTATAGATTATTACTACACGTTTGGACCATATTGTAGTGTTTTACCAGTAAATATAAATGTGTTTACTTGTTCTTGAACCACTAAATGTGTGTACGTCCGCTTAAAATTAAGTGTTGAATGTAAAGTTTCTCCCAAACTATAGAGAAACATATTACATAAGTTTACATAATATAAAAAATACAATGTCTAAACAAATGTTTTTAATTGTCTTGCTTTAATCAACAATGGAATACTTGTGTGAACTATAGATCAATCTGAATGATAAAGTTGACATTTAAAAAGCCACAATAACCTGTATTTATTCATGTTCCCCATCTTTAGAACAAGAGAAGCTCTGCTGGGAACGTCAACACTGAATTGAAAGAGTTTGAAAAGCCGGCAGAGACAAAGGCACAGACAGGTAATTGTTTGTCGGTTTCATTTATTCATAAGAGTTCGTGCTCATCAGACATCTTATTTTGTTGTACATTGAAACATTTCCATGTTTTTGGCAGATCAAAGACAGAGTGGACGGAGTCAAGACTTTAACAACATGTCATCAAAAGAGTGAGTTTAAAGTGTAAAACATTGAAATTCAATCAAATCTAATCTATAGTGACTTGTGCAAGCTTCTTAATTACATCTATTTTTAAAATAGTTAAATTATTGCAATTTAATTCTTACAAAAAAAAAAGCTTTTGAAAGAGGTCCCTGAGTAGAATAACAGTTTTACTTACTTACTCTGTAAATACATTTTAAAACGGCACAGGCTACCGTTTGTGTCCCCGGAAGTGATTCCCCCCACACAAGTATTCGTGCTGATATAATCTAATATCATCTAATAGCATCGTTCATTCACAGAAACCAGGAGGAGAAAACCAGGAGGGCGTCGGCTCCCGAAAAGCTCACATTCAAGCAGCGTCAGCGTCTCTTTTCTCTGGCGTCCAGTGCATAAGAGAAGGTTCAAGATTTGTAAACAGATGCCTCAGAGGAGGCGCATGTCTATAGAAACAAAAGTAATCATTTGCTAAGCAAAATGACAGTATACAGTAGTACCATGTGAAAAAAGTGTGATGATGTATTTACAGTAGATGCGTCCCAAAGGCATCCGGTGTGTGATGTCAATAGTTGTTCAGTATTGTTTCCAGGACATTGAGTTTTTTTTAATCACCTCTTTAAACATTCATTAAATGCTTGTATTTTTCTATTCATAGATAATAAATTGTTCATTTAGCAATAAAGTTGAGGCACTTCTTCCACTTATTTCATGCTTATTAATTGTAAAAAGTAAACACTGCTCCTTCCGCTCCTTAGCAGAAGTAGCAGTGTGACTTTATTCCTGCTGTAAAAGCTACTTTGTGCGCTGATAAAAATGCACCACAGCTTTCTCTTGTTCGTGAGTTTCGATGGAGCCTTTCCGCAGACTTCGGATCTCATTGATGGCGTCGATCCCAGATATCTTTCTGGTCTTCACCAGGTAGCAGGCCAGCATGGTCCCTGTTCTTCCGTGGCCGTGCATGCAGTGAACTCCCACACCCTGAAGGGAACAATACAAGGTTTATTTAGTTCACTCACCTGTAACACACCACACCCATCCTGTGTTACTGCTATGAGACACGAATTTGCATTTAGTTTCTTTGTCTTTTGTGATATTAAATTGAATATGTTTTAGGTTTTAGACAAAGCAACCAATTTGAGGACATCATCTTGGATTTTACAGATGTTTTTCCTATTTTCAGACATTTTATAGAACAAATGATGAATCTTTTAATTGATAAAATAATCGGCAGACTAATGGGTAATAATCAGACACTCCAAACAAGATTTCAGTGCTTGTGAGAGTCCTGAAAGTACTTTATGACCATTAGCATCCATAAAGCACGGTCTATCCAGTATCTATATCTTACCTCTCCCTTGGAGTTGGCCTCTTCCACGATAGAGAGGAATCTATCAATCTGACTTGGCGAAGGAGGAGTGAAGTCCACTATCTTGATGTGGTGCAGCTGTAACTCTGGGCACGAGTCATAGCAAGGTGGTTTTCTCTCGCACAGGCACACCAGGTGTTTGATACCGTTGTCCAGCAGGTACTGGTATTCAGATGCCATCCTGGGTAGCGCCAGTCCGGCCAGCATGTCTGGATCGACCCAGGAGAAATTGTGTGGAGGAGTGGAAGCCATGCTAGTCAAGCTGAGAAGAGGACACCAGTGAAGTCAAGCCAGTTCCTTTACATAAACTACTTTATTTCAAGAGTTAAGGGCATTAGAAAAAAAACAGGCTAAGACTAAAAAAGTGAATACAGCTGTAACCAGGTGAGACTGTGTGTGTGTGTGTGTGTGTGTATGTATATATATATATATATATATATAAACATTTTAGTACATATTACCTATCCAACAGGTTGAATAAGTTGGTATCAACAGTCATGAGAAAGTGCAGAAAGTATATTGACTATAAAGGCTATTTGATTAATAATTAATAACATTACATATTTCAACATATTAGGACATGCCTGATGTGGAAATTCACTGTGCAGGCCTCACTAGACTTCTGTGGAGAATTTCAGTATTAAACGCATTATTAGTAGGATTTAATAACACCCCTAGTGGTGAGTAGAAGTGTTACAATAATAAATATGTTACTCACAATATGTTTCCATATGGAATGTATTATAGGTTTACAATATTCTTACTTATAGAGGATATTATATGTTACAGTATATTAACTCATTGAATGTATTAAATCATAGAAGTATAGTCACTGTAGGTATTAAAACACTAAGAATAGTTTTGAGGGTCAGATAGGGATTCTGAGTGAGGTGTCAGACATGCAGCAGCAAATGGAGGCGACCTCATCGGTGGAGGATGGGGCCAGTGGGACGGTCAAATGCCAAGCTGACCAGCAGGACAGAGAGGAGGAGTCCAAGATGTTTTGCTAAGGGATCGATAATGGGAGGGGACAGAATTCAAATGAAGCCAATCACTAATCGCCACGGAGGGTCATTCACACGTTTTATGACAGTATCGGACACTTTCCGACTCTCAGGGGATACAAAAGACAATGTTTTAGGGAGTTTACCTCAGATCACTGCAGCTCTCATTTTCAGCTAACTGACCGCGCCGGACTGTGAGGAGATGCGTGTATGTGGTCTCTGCTCTCGAGAACATTACTATTGATAGTTAATTCGGTTTGTAAGTGAACTTTGTGTAGTACATTAAATATTGTTTTTAATTTGAACCGGATCTAGCTCATTCTTCTGATGCGCGTGCGCAGTAAGAAGCTCGCAGCAGAAGAGTACCTGCGGACTGCAGGCTCCTTCATCCTTTGTTCTTAAAAACCTGACACTTCACCTAGTTTTACAGAAGAATTAGAAGAATAATGCTAGAGTTTAGTCTCTAGTTTTAGTTAGCTGGCTACTTTAGCTGAAGTTATTTACCGTTTATCTTAGCACACATTAATGTCCCGTATCTCCCGCAAACTACTCGCAAAATAACTTACAGTTTTCCGTTGAGAGGAAGGGACGTTCCGCTACTTGTCGAGCTGGTGCTACCTTGCTGACCGTTAAATTACTTGCTACGTTTCCTTATTGCGGTCATGTGGTCCGTCATCCGCGGACCACATGACCCGGAAATAGGTCTATTTCCGGGCATCTTGGGCTATCCAAGCACCCGTACCGTAGCACCACGAATAGACGAGCATTACATTTCAAGTGCCGGCTGACGTGACTGAGGTTCCGCGGATGACGGACCACATGACCGCAGTGTTTCATTCAGCATGCTAGGTGACTAGCCCTACAGCAGTAACAGTACGAGTAGCTCACAGTCTTTATATAAGCAACGCTAGCTGTCGCAATACTAGGTCATAGCTGACCTTTCATCCGGGTGGAAACCAGCTGTCTTTAAAAATCAGAAGGTTTATGGTAAGGTTTATGGTCTGTGTCCATGGTAACGACAAGTCAGGATGGCCGAGCGGTCTAAGGCGCTGCGTTCAGGTCGCAGTCTCCCCTGGAGGCGTGGGTTCGAATCCCACTTCTGACAGAGTTTTTTTCTTGCGGTACATAAATGTCCATCTTTAAATTGTGATTATCATGATTTCATTGTATTGTTATGCATATATTTATTACTGAAGGATTGTGTGTTTATTGTGTGTAGAAACAATAAATGTCATCACTTTTGCTTTTAGTGATCTTAAAGGGGAACTAAACCCCAAAACCATGAACTCAGTACATTAAAATAAAGTATTGGCTGCTCTCCTCCCGGAGCTATGGAGAGGCTCCACGATTATAAATGAATAAAGAGAAGTGGAGTCCTTATCGGAGGAATATAAAGCAAAAACTTCCGAGTTTATAATTCAGATGTAAATACCCGGATCTTCCGCATGTATGGGCCCACAGAGCATGCGCACTAGCGTTTTCCTTAGCCCCGTTTCCTGGCACACTTGTTCGGCCTCGTTCTTGGGCTCATTCACATGAACGGAGGTAGGAAATAAACTCTGGATGCGGCCAATAGTGCGTTTTACTAACGAACTAACTTCAATAAGTAAAGTAAGGACTAGTTATGTGTTGTATAGTTACAGTTGAAGTCAAAGAGTAGGAGACATTCAGTTGCATCATTATGTTATTGCCTCTGAAATTTATAATTTAGGTGAGGATAAAAGCGTTATTTTTCTTCTTAATTGCTTCTCTATTTTCTCTGAAATGGCAATTCCTGCTTCGTTAACCTCTACTGGAATCATATTCCATAACTTCTTACCTTTCATACAACACCAAACATATGTGTATAAGAAATTAATTTTCTCGGTATATTAATTTAGCCGTTTTTTTTGACTGGTAGTGATTAATAAAGTCAAATAAAATAGTAAAATCATTGCTTTCCCTGTTGGGTCATTGTTACAGGGACTCAGACTGCCCCATACCATGAAACATAAGGGAATATTTCAAGTTTTTTAGTGCATAAATACATATAAATATATCTGAAAATATCTAAACCAACCTTCACCAAATTACCCCAAACATCTGGTATCATTTGCAGTTTAAATATCTAATTAGTACTCGAATGTGATTTCTCAGCCTGCAATGCAATGTTTCCAGAATTATTTATATGTGAGAGATGTCCTCGTTGAGTCCATATTGAATCATTCTTGTTTTTAATAACGTTTTGGCACTTCCAGATGGAGGACGCCCCTGTTTTATACAATCTCCACATGAATGGAAATAGAGAAGACTGTTTGTCCATTTCATGCAATAGTTAATGATACAAACACAAACATTCAGAACTCACAGCACAGCACAGTTTACTTGCTAATCATTTTATACAAACAGTAGAAAGAGGGTTTTGTATCTGAAGGAGACAAACTGCATCACATTTGCCAGATAGATGTTGATACACAGAGACTTGATATTCAGGTATTTGTAAAGAAGAATCACAGAGTCGAATGTTTAAACATCCCATTAAAAAGCTAACCTGTTGGTGTAAAAACAACAAATAAAAAGTAAACAGAGCTGTTCCACGTACAGTTATAGAAAGATATCTAGGTGATAGGTAAAGTCGAAATAAACATAGACAACAACTTAAAAAAACAATAATCAGGTGGCATTTAGTGGTTTATTTGGGTTTGCTGTCCTACGTCACTCGACCCGCCCACAGACCATTTAACAGAACATTTGGAAGTCCCAAAAAGAACCACAAATTATTTTATCTATTTTTTTTTGTTTGTTTTGTACACATCACAGCCTGAAGACTTGTTAGGTTGCCCGTCATGTCTCTGGGTTATCATCACACTCATCATCATCCTCCTTTCTTTTTGTGTCATCTAAAAGCACAGACCTCTTCAACATGTTGCAACACCCCTTTAAAAATCACAACCACAACCCCTTTAATAGTTACATGTAAACTCTGTGGGTTTTAATTTTTGCACTATTTAGGTGCCGTCTGAGAAGGGGGGGGGGGGGGGGGGGGGG